GGTGCTACAGCTAAGGCTAGGTGTACCCCACAAAGGAGGAGGTGCACTGTTTAGTACCTGAAGCTTACCCCAATACCCAATTGGTGTCAAATTGTATCGTGTGTATCTACATGCATGATGGATGATGGATGGATGGCTTTGATGGCTTGATGGCTTGATGAGTGATGTTTGATGCATTGCATTTAGTTATGTGTGTGTGCTGGATTTTTCTGATTCTGCAATCTGCTGTACTGCTGGGTAGGGAAAGCTGCAGTAGCTGTTTTGACTGTATTGGGGGAAGAAGATGAGAGAGAGAGAGAGAGAGAGAGAGGGGGTGGGGTTTAAAGCTCAGGGGGTCTCAGCGCCTCACAGATGCCCTCTTGGCCCTCCCTGCTGTCCAAGTCAGGCTTACCCCACCAGCAAACCATTCATGTCTAAGCGTGGCTTGAGAGGATTGATTTGAACCCTTTTGTTTTCAAGTGTGAGAAGTAACAATACCTCTACTGTTGATGCTGTCATTTTCCCCTGATTTATCACGTGATTTTTACCACCATTTACACAAAAACCAGAAGCTTTTTCTCTTCACCCTGCAAAATTATTATTTTTTCCCCTCTTCAAATTGTACACCAAGTTATGTTCTTTGCCATATTAGGCAATTCCCTTGTCTTGTTCTTGCCCTGCCCTTCCCTTCCCTTCCCTGTTCTGCTTTTACTTTTTATCATCCAATTACTGCTGTTCTTGACAAATATAAATATTTTGATATCAAAGAGATAGAGGGGTGTAAAAACGTTTTTACCTTTGTATAATAATGTCAGACAGACGAATATCAAGGTCTACTGTCTTGGAAAATATGGTGAGATATGCTAAGGCCGTATTGAACACATTTCTTTGGCCCCTTCTTGTTCCAATAAAGATAAATTAGAGTGTGATATTTTCCATATAGTATTTTCATTACGTTTTCTCCGTTGATATCAGACTTGTAAAGGCAAGGTTTGAAGCCTGGGAATGAATTAGCTAGACCTCTAGGATGCAGAAAAAAATGGTATGAAACGAGGATATCATTGTTTTACTATTCTCAATCAATCATATATTGTTACGTGAAAAATTTATCATACGTGGCACGCCGTGATTGACTAGGAATAACAAAATAGTGTTATCCCTGTTTCACACAAATGTTTCTTCTCGAGATGGCTTAGGGCTAGATTGAGAACCCACATCCCACCCAAACTTCATTTTTCAAAACCACTTAAGAAACTGGCTCATGATACCACATTGTGTAGAGGGGTTCATACAGATACTTGTGGCCCAAGTGGCACTTTGAAGGCATGGCCTAAATGATGATGATGATTATTTTTTTCAGTACAAGCGATCAAGGCCCCTTTCCATTTGAATGACCCACTTGAAACCAACAATTTAGAGTCCGTTTGATAATCATTTCAATTTTAGTTTTTAGTTTTCATTTTTCATTTTTTGTGCTAGAGTATAGAGGAAAATGAGAGTGTGAATAGGGATGATGAGATTGAGAGTAAGCATGAGAGGGGAAGATGAAAAGGAGGAGTAATACAAGTGAAAACAAAAACTTGAGAAAACAATTTCAAATAAATTTAAGTTTTTAGTTTTGGTTTTCACTTTTGTTACTCTTCCCTTCCATCATCCCCTTCTATCTTTCGTCTCAATCCCATCTCCACTCTTATTCTCACTTCCATTCTTCCAATTTTTTCTCTATACTCCCAACACAAAAAATGAAAACTAAAAGCTAAAAACTAAAAACTAAAAACTAAAATTGAAATTGTTATTAAACGGACCCTTAATTAAACAGTGCATGTTGTTGTTGTACAAACATTGTCGAGGACAACAAAGTTTTTAACCAAGCATATAAAACATTGGACACTAGTAATGTCACACAATTAGTAAGTTCAATTACAAGCAGTTACTGGTTGAAAATATATGGTAACTTAAGTAAGTTGAAGAAACTCTCATCTTTAAAATCAAGAGGAATTAATTTAAAAAAAAATATATTTATGAGGTACTAGGGCATTTTCAAATTCCAAATAACTTGGATCATTGCAAACTCTCATAAATAAAAAAACTCTTAAACTCAACTCCATCAAAGAATTCTTTGCCTTTCCCCAAGAAAACAAAAACTAACTCGTAGCAAAAAGAACTATGGGCGCACTATATACATTCCCGATGTTGGCCATTTTGCTTTTGGCGAGCCCATCAAGAATGATTTTCACAAGTTTCGCAATTCCAACTTTAGAGGAGTCTAATTCCAAAACCTTGGATGAATGTAAAAAACTTATGTCCATTAATTGCGCTTGGGAAGTTGGTGGAAGCATTTTCGAAGGTGGGATTGTAACAAGTTTTGCCTGCAGATCATGCCATGATATATTCCTCAACTGCTCTTTTGTCAAAACTAAAATGTCGACAATCCTAGAGCTTTGGTAGAGAGATGTGTTGAAATTATCACTTACATCTTCTATTTTATAACCAAGAATTAAAGTGATCATAAATTTTGTATGAGATATATGTCGTGATCCAAAAACAAAAAAATCATGACTTCAACATGTTGTTTCGTTACGAGCTCAATTTTATTGCTTAATTTACTTTCTCAGTTCTGTTTTGAGATTTGCAGGACTCCGGATCCTCTGTTTGTTATTTTTCTTGCTTTGATATGCTTGACTCTTGTATCTAGTGATGCTTCAAAGTATAGGCCTAGGGTTCTGGGCATATTGCCCCAGCCAGGTACAATCTAGATGATAAACAAGCCGGACTGAGCACAACCAAAACCCCAACAGACACATTTAAACAGATGTTACGTCTTTGGTCAGGGAATTTGACCTAATAAGATTGTAAATCTCCTGTTTCCTTTTCTTCTTCATAAACTTGTGAAGTATGTTTTTGGTTGGCAGCTTTGCAGTAATGCACAAACTGGTCAATTGATTGTATTGCAAACCCCATTGGGTTGGCAAACTTAGAGAAAAACTATCACCTGTTTCTGAATTCATCTTGTCCTTGGGTTCATCTTGTCAAAATCATCTGGTTTCAGATGATGTCCATATGTTCTTCAAATTATAAAACGAAAGAAAGCCAAGAAAATGTTAGCAGGGATTAAGTAACAGAATGCTTATGGTTGAAAGAAGCAAGCTGTGTCGCAAGACCTGTTTTTGAAATCAATTTGGCCCAAGTTTTTACGAAATGCCCAGCCACAAAAACTAAACCAATTGATTCAAGTTAAATCTGGACATCAGATACCTATGGGCCAAAATACAACACAAAAAACAATTGATTTTTTGTTTTTAAAAACAGCAGGGCTGCTGCAAGAGAGAGATCAGATGGTAGTGCATGTATTTTGATTAGAATAGGTCATCAAAATCAGATTCTGATTTTCAGGATGATTCAATGGATAATCATCATCACACCTCCCCTCTTGCTCCTTCCCAAGATTCAACAATTTGCATTCAAAATTTCACCAAAAGAAAATTGAAAGAGAGAGAGAGAGAGAGAAAACAGAGGAATCAGAAAGAGAGTCAATCACCATCTAGCATCAAAAATTGGATGATGCTTGTAAGACTGGGGCGACAAAACTTCTCATCACTTTCCTCACATCACATCGTTACCCTAAACCCTAAACACTACTATCATTCAATCTAACTCCACGCATACAGAAGCACACGGAGAAGATGAGGAAAGAGACCATCTTTTATAGGCTCAGATTAGGGTTTCGGTTCTTTTCTTCTTTCAAATAGTGGACCATCTTTTGAGGCCCAAACAAGTTTCTACTATGGGCTTACTGAAGCAATAAGCAATTATACTAAATTTCCTGCCACCGTTGTTTAATGAGAAAGTCTTGAGTGAGGTGGCCGGCCCAAGTCACTCGTACAAATGTTTTCACAAGCAAACCAGTTGTACAAATGATGTGGTCGGACCGCCTCAATCAAGAGATTCGCCTATAATCCATTTTGTGGTAAATCAAATGTTGCATTCTTAGAAATTAACATGTGACACCACCCTTTAGTTAAGGTGTGTACTGTTTTTATCTTATTTCTTATGATAATGTTGGTTCAATTGTTAAACTATTTTAAAGGCAGAAAGGGGAAAAATATAAGTGGACGAAAAATTACTCAAGCGGATCTCGTTTCTCAAATCGTATACATTATCATGAACAAAAATGTGACCTTATTAGAAATAGTTTTTATTTTATAAAATTTACGAACGAATGAGTGAATCCACATATCATTGTGATGAGACAGGAATACGTGAATTTTGGTCAAAACATAGAGAGCTCTTATGTGGGAATGCTTTTATCTTTTAAACCTAGGATGAAGAAAACAAATCTCATATCTGAATCAAATCAATAGGGGACGGTGCCAACGTAGCAAGCTTCCATTGCTACCTATGCAAACTACCGCCATTCAACCTATTGAAACCTAGATATATACCCACTCAATGTTCAAGCCACAGCCCACCATCCTAACCTAATAATCACCTTCGTCACTATGCCGAAACTCTGAACTCAAGCTCTACTTCCAGGTCATGTGTATGTTCCAATCGACAGGGCATCCATGTGGCGTTTGAGACAGCTCATCTAGCTTCCTCCCAAGATTGAAAAATTCTTATTCAAGTAGTTGACAGAGGTAAAACTCTAAGGTTGCCCTGTGCAGTCCCAATACTATGCTTGATCCTTTCTGGAGATAAGATGAAAACCATAAAAAACAGTTAGTGCTTTCATAAACTGAGATATGGACTAAGATACAAGTACATTACTTCCTTTATAAGTCAGTCTACAGCCCTAAAAAACAATAACATAAACTAATCTTTTACTAAATTACATCAGTTCTTTCAAGAGGTATAGTCTGAGCTGTCTGGCAGTCAACATAATATATTTGACACCGTTCACCTATTCCAGTGTTTACCTAGAACTCATTGATGATTCTTGGCATACAACATGAATTTGTGTTCAGAATTCTACGTTCATAGTTTATTGAAGAAATGTGTAGTACCTTCAAGACAAAACTATATTACTGTAGCCCTGAATGTTCTGTGGTTGCCTTATCTGCACATTAGATAAAACCTTTCCAGTCAGTCACAATCATAAGTAGAGCTTCGACCAAGAAAAAAAATAGAAAAGAAAAAGAAATCATAAGTAGAGCAAGGTTACAGATTTTGAAGCGTATTCTATTTGAAAGGTATTTCTGCACCCATGGTTCAAATGTCATATATCCCATTAGATCTTCCTACTAATAGTTTAATGCAAAGTTTTCTATACAAACAACACAGATATAAACACACACAAAAGAGTTCTGTACTTAGTTTAACAACGATTTTTGGCAATGTCAAGCCAAAACATTAATTTCTTAAAGAATATTGATCCCAGTGGGAACTTTATTAGGAACTTTGCCGTCAGATGCAAACTAAGTATACAGATTAAGCTATTAAAGTGAGAAATCAAGAATGTAACTTTGTTCTTCTAACATACACTGACATGGCTCTTCACTATAAACAGCAACCAGAAAGTAGCATGCTACTTCCAATCACCATTTATTTAATCAAGTACAAATTGAGAGAAGCACAGATTGGTGAGACCTATGTCTCTTTTGTTCCTTTTTATAAGTAATTTGAACGACCTATGTCAAAACCAGGTTCCGAAGTTGGAAGTTGTACTAGTAGAAATATGAACCTGAAACCAAACCAATCAACTTGGCTAAATAATTTCTTAATCTAACTATCTAGCAAGATCATTCGTTACCGTTAGCTCGATCACAGAAGTTGCTCTTTCTACTTACATTACCACTCAATTATCTCATCTTGCTCATTTCAAGTAGACACACAGACAAAATTTGTTAAACAGAAACCAAAATTTTGTAGCATAAAGCATGGCCTCCTAGATAAGTTGAAACTCTTAAGTTCCCACTGCAAGGAAAGAGAACAACAAGACTTGCCACTTGTGTGCCTAAAATTCACATGTTAAGTGCTGCAAAACTAAAGTGAGGACTTGAAGAAACTCGTAAAAAACAACATGCGGCATTGTCAAACCATAACCAAAATATTAATCTTATATATACCATGTTGTTGATGTTGATGTTGGTGTGAGACGCCAACAGACAGCATGCGGTCTATATTGTCAAGACGGCGCTGTACTGACTTCAAAACCGAATTCAACGACGAAACTCTCTTTCGAACGACAGAAATCTTGGCCGCGTGCTGCATTATGAACGGCAGCGGCGCATCTTCTAGCAACTTATCAAGTTCTGCCCACAATATTTTTCATTTTTAAATTTAATGCAAAAATAACAAAAAATATAAAATTAAATTACCAAAAAAAGAAAAAAAAAGAAAAAAAAGAAAAAAAGAAAGTCAGTTTGGTTACCGCGGGTAAGGCGATCGAGCGATTGAGAGAGGTGGTCTTGGCTTGTGGAGGTTTGCTGAGCTTTTGAATCGAACTCTTTAATGACGGTCGTGAGCGTCGAAGATAGTGCTTTCGCCAGAGCCTCCGATTGTAACCTCTGGCTTTCGTTCTCACTCTGATTCTCTGTCTCGTGCACACTCACACTCTTCTCCTCTGAAGATGACTCGAACTGGGTTTCCTTGCTTTCCATTTGATCAGCTTCAGTGAGTTTGATTGACTGATTTTCTGCCTCACTTCAAGTTTTCTCGCCTACCAAACAGAGGATGGAGAGTTGGGATACTTGATGTTTGGTTTTTGGGCCTCCAACAATTAATGGGTGTGTGGGCTTTCTGGGAGCCCAGGCCCATGTGAATATATACAAGTAGCCGCACAGCAATTAGGGTTCAGACTCATTAAAAACCCTGTGGTATCTTCTGGAGGCGTCGGGGTCATCGTTTTGGAGACACAGACACAGTAGCAGCATTTCTCAGCGAGGATGAGGGCCAAGGTAAGTTTTTTCATTTTCAATTCCCATTTCTTATGTCTGTTTTTGAACTTTGAATGTGATGGTTCTCTTTGTCTTTGGCCTTCAATGGAAAAATTGTTTCAAATCTGTCGATGAGTGTTCTGTTATGGGATGTTTTGATTGAATTGTGTTGTTGTTGTTGTTGGTGGCATTCTTTCAGTGGAAGAAGAAGCGCATGAGGAGGTTGAAGAGGAAGCGTCGAAAGATGAGACAGAGATCAAAGTAGGCAGCTTGTTGCTCCTTCATCTGCAACACCTTCTACCCATGTGAAGTTTTGTAGAGTGGAGGATGACTTGAGTATCTGTGTTTAAGTTTTCATAGTTTTGGGATTATAATTATGTGGATGTCAAGTGTTTAATCAAGTTTTACTCTGCATTTAATTGCATAATTAAGTATGGATGCTGTTTATGCAAGTTTATTGATTTGTGTTTTATGATGCAATGGGCTTTTCAATTGATCATTTTTGATAATGTATGCATCTGTCATATTAGATGTCAAAGTTGAGATCTTTTGTAGCCTTGTTCTGCTCTGCTTGTGGCCCTGCATTCTTCTGTGCCCATCATAGAATCAACCCGTCTTATGTTAGGCTTTAGATTTTAGACTTTTGAACCAATTATACAAGTTATTTAGAGTTTAGAACCCCGTAACCAAGATCCTTAGGAAGCTTTAATTCATTGGCCAAACGCAGAACCTGTCACTGGTCCTGTTTTCATCACTCTATGCAGGGCCTTTATGTTTTCCATGCATCGGATGGAAACTATGGTGATGCTGCATAGAAAGTCTTTCCATAATGTTTTCGTCTCACAATGGCTTTCCTCTATCACTAGTCACCATTCGCAGCAGAAATGGTTTGGTTCATGCGGCATGCATTATTATCACCGCAAAGCCCAAGTTTTTTTTATAATGAAATTCTAGATTTGCAAGCCCGGTTTGTTTGTGTTCAAATTGTCAGTTTCAGGTGGTGTGGTATTAGGGTTGGTCGTATATCTGACTAGCCTGAATTCAACTCAATTTTTGGGCAACTCCGTCAAGAATGTTTGGTACCTTGAGCAAAAATGGGACATGGTTTTATCATCTGAATTATGTGTAGGGCATGCATGAACAGAGAAATCTTTGACCCCGAGCAATGCAGTTTATGTATTAGTATTTACCTTGAAAAGTAATATATGCTTAACCATAATACGCATCTCAAGGAGGCCTTTGAAACCACGCTTGAATCTCGAAGTACAAGTTTCCCAGTAGCGCGCGCATCCCTCTTAAACGTGGATGATTCTTAACATTTCCCATACGCGTATTTCTCTCCTGAAATCGTGAGGATTTCTGAAGCTAGCAACAAAACGAGGAAAAGTTCGAAACCAAATCTGAGTTTTGTTATTCATATGTTGACACTAACATGTTTCAGACCAAAAAATGATACTAACATGTATTTTGAACACATAAAAAAAGAAAAAAAAAGAACCGCGTTTACATCAGTTTAAGGAAGAAGCTGAACCACCAAATCTGAAAACAAATTGTTAGACTTAATTTACAGAACAAAATTGAAATACAAGTTCTCTCCAAATGAAGTAATAGTATAGAGCAAAGCTTTTGTCTTGAACTTGTTCTTTGCCCAATTCCGAAGTCTGAATATATCAATATTCAAAGGAGGGCCTTTTCTATCCATTTCCCCCCCCTCCCTCATCGATCCGTCCGTCTACAAAACAAATGATGGTACAGCCTTCTCGAACTGAGTTGCTAAAACTTCTTGGTCCTAGAAATGACTTGGTCTTTAATCTTGCTTGCTATTGCTCTCCTTTAATAGCATTTCTTTTTGTTTTCCCCCGTATTTCTATACTGGTAAATCCTCAAAGTCATACTGCATAACAAGTCTTTCCACTGTATTCGGACTCATAACATGTCTCAGGTGCAACTCTTTCAAAACTTTGGCTGCCAGCTCCAGTTCTCCTTCATGTGCAATCCCTTCCACGAGAATGGTATAGGTCATTTCATTAGGCATACGCCCTTTCTCGATCATCATCTCGAAAACCTGCAAGGACAAATCTGTTCTTCGAGATTTGCAGAAGCCGAGTACAAGGGCATTGAAATTGTCAGTATCAGGCCTAATGTTGTTTTCTTCCATTACCTTGAAAATCTCCAAGGCCTCATCTAGCATACCCTCCAAACACAACCCTCTGATCAAGGATGAATACGTATAAGAATCTGGAGTGAAACCTCGCTTGGTCATTTCATATAAAATCTGAAACGCTGGGAAGGTGTTCCCTTTCCTACACAAGCTTGTAATTACGTTTTTGTAGAACTCGTTGGTGGAGCACTTTTGTTTGTTAGCGAGGCTCTGAATTATAGAGAATGCCTCTTGCACCATCCCTTCCTCACAGAGCACGGCAATGGCATTGAATGTTCCCTCATTAGGATTACATCGCCGATGAATCATTTGGTCTAGACACTTAATCACAATATCCACCTTCCTCTCTTTGCAGAGATGAGCAATTATGGGATTGTAGCTGGCAGCAGTAGGCTTGAACCGACCTCTCACCATTTCATCCAAAACTTCAAGAGCATGTTCAGTTCTACCATGAAGTGCAAGTGAACCAATTAAGATATTATATGTAACTATGGAAGGAGACCGATCCTCACCTTCCATCTCAGACAGAAGCTCATTTGCCTCTTCCCACCTACCCTCATAACACAAGCTCCTCAGCACAATGTTATAACTCACAACATTTGGATCAAACCCCATCGAAGGCAAATTCCTGAAGAACCGCAAAGCCTCGTCAGTCCTACCTTCCTTGCACAACCCAGTTAACAAAACATTGTAACTGACCAAATTAGGCTTTCCACCTTTAGCAATTATCTCTTGCAGGAGCTTCATGGCTTCATTGACCCCTCTTTCCTTATAAGCAGCTTCAAGCAAGAAGGAGTAGGTATAAACATTTGGGACCAGCCCCTTCTGTATCAGTCTATCCAAAAGCTGCAAGCTTTGGTTCAAGTTTCCACGCACACAAAGCCCTCTAACAAGCGAATTATAGGTAATGGTATTGGTTGGATAACCATACTCCTCCATTTTTTCAACCAACTGCATTGCATACCCAATATTACCTTTTTTACACAAATAATTCACCAAGAAAGTATAAGAAGCTGCATCAGGTATAATGCCTGCAGAAACCATCATTTCAATCACCCTGACAGCTTTTCTCATCTTATTTGCATTGCAAAGGTCATATAAGAGCTGAGTTGCTTGAGCCACATCAGGCTTTTGGCCCTTCCCTACCATAGACTCTAAGTGCAGAAAGGCATCAATTAATCTGACTTCCCTACTTCTTCTGTTATTCTTGGCAGCCCTCCAGTTGGGTAAGGTGAAAACAGTGTCCTTTGGAGAAATGGTGATCTGGGTAGTTGCCAAAACTCTAGAAAATCCCTTGCTGAGCGAAAGTGGTTGGAGATTCCTGATGTGGGAAAAGAACCTACAACTGTTTCTAGTACTTTCTGGTGATGGGTGTGCAATAGGAGACACTGAATTTACAAGAACAGCCATGGACAGAGCTAAATAGTTTTTTTGCTATTGAAGCCTAATCAAATATACTCTCCACAAAATATGAAATTCTTAATACAAGCCTCTCTTCACTTCTCTTTGCACAGAGAACAACAATCAAATATCTGCGTTGGCTAAATTTTCATCACACTAACATAACCAAATGGATAAACAGTATTTTTCAGCAGGAACAAGGATAAGGCATACTGAAGAAGATGGAACCAAAGAATTGAATCATAGATATATTCTTAACATGAAGTAATCAAGAAACTGATAGATAAGGAAAAGAGGGGCAGAAAAGAATCAACATACACTGGATATCACCTGTTGGGTTTTTTCAAGAATAATTGGTTGGTCCATTTGCTTTCTCACCCCTAAAGAAAGAGTTCCTCTTTGTCCTTTTCTAATCTGGTAATTGGTAAAATCAGACCAAACGAAAAAACAAAATCTAGTAAAGTTTACACTCTGCGCTAAACATTTTACAACTGAATTTGGCTTCTCTCTCCATTTCCACGGTCATCACTAGTCCACTGTCCAGTCCCGTCCACTACCATATTTTGTTATCCAATACAGTTACTTATATCCACACCACTCACTTTGGACCAGCTTCTGAGATACGCTCTCTTGTTTTTGGATGGGCTTGGCTTGCGTGATTCAAATTTTATCGGACCAACGGGCCCTTATTTTTTTTTTTTTGTTTTTTTTTTTTTTTTTTTTTGTTTTTTGTTTTTGAGTTCCATGAAATTGGTCAAATTCAAGTTTTTTCTGATTTCAATAAAAGAAAAAAAGTTTCTTTTTGATTGTTTGGGATGATATTCTTCTATAGGACGAGTGTGGCAATTAAGTCATGTCGTGTTTATCTAACTGTGTTTGAGGTGACTCACTTGTTTTGTCGATAAACAATAATGTGAGTTTCGAACTTGATATCTCTTCCCACAAAGTGGATTATATCAAGAAATGGATTATATCAAGAAATGGAGACATTCCCAAAAACAAGGATCATTTTCTTCTACCAACACAAGCATGATTATCTTGTCGGAATTGAATGATTCATGCATACACTAATCCGACATCACATTTGTGTTAGAAGAACATGTCATTTGCAGATCCGTATCAAGTTTTGAATAATCTTGACTCGCCAACACAGGTAATGATTAATCTTAATTCACTAACCTCATGTTGGCTTCTAGTGGTGCTGAAAATTTTCAGTCTTACTTATAAGTCAGTCCACACATCCTTTGGCGTTTAGAACTTTGGATGGCATTGCTCCAATTGATTTACATCATTCAACACAGTAACCTGGATACTGAAAATCACCAAAAATCTCTGCAAGAACAATCTCCATCTTTGAAATGGTGAAACCTCAACGAATCTCGGACTATAATCTGCACACCAACAATCTTGGCCATAAACTTGATGGCATTATGGCAGTCCCCACATATCCTCAAGTTCTTAAATACCCGAATTGTCGATTCACCATTCAAATTGAGTATCCCAAAAGCAACAGCAAGCTTCTCACTGTGGTTGCAAAGGATCCCAACTTTCTCCTCTTGATCCACATCTTGCAGAACAAAATCTGTGTTGGGCACATACCCTGCCAATCTCATCTTCTCACCCATCTCAACCAAAAACTTGTACATCTCCTCACTACGTTCATTGCTTCTGTCACCAGCAACAAAAGAGTAGACTCTATTTCTCAGCTGAACCCAAGAACAACCTGGTGTTTTTGTCACTCCTCTGTCTCTCATCAACTTCCTAGTTTCTGAAGCTTCTTCCCATCTTTTGGCAGTAACTAAAATGTTGGACAATAATACATAGTTACCAGGGTTATGTGGTTCAATCTCAAACAGCCTGTTTGCTGCAATTTTCGCTAAGTCCACATTTTTATGCACTCTACAAGCACCAAGCAATGCTCCCCAAGCACCAGGTGTAGGTTCCATTGGCATTCTCTGTATGAACTGATATGCCTCTTCTAGGTGACCGGCACGGCTAAGTACATCAACCATGCAGGAATAATGATCTGCATCGGGTTCTACTGAGTGATTCCTCCTCATTGAATCAAAAACCATGATGCCTTCGTCAACCAGCCGCGAATGGCTACAACCACACAAAACACCAGTAAAAGTAACAGAGTTTGGCTTCACCCTGGAGTCTAACATTTTTCTGAACAGCAGCAAGGCTTCTTCTCCATTCCCATGCATCGAGTTTGCAATGATCATTGTATTCCAAGCAACTGTATCCCTTCTTGGCATCATATCAAAGACCCTCCTCGAAAGTTCCAACTCACCACATTTTGCATACATGAAAACTAGAGCTGTTGTGGTTGCCAAGTCCTCCATCAAACAATTTCTAAAGATGTAACTATGAACCTCTTTGCCTGCTCTCAAGCTCTCCAAATCTTTGCAAGCTGGTAACAAGCTAGTAATTGTTATCTGATTGGGCTTAAATCCTGATTCTTGCATTTGTCCAAGCATTTTCAGTGCCTGTTCAGTTTGCCCATTATTGAAGCACCCACCAATAACAGCATTCCAAGAAGCACCATCCAATTTAACTCCGTCCCTTCTCATCCTACAAAACAAAGCTATACCCTTTTCGCAATCTCTATTCGAGAAATACGCTGTTAGAAGTACATTCCAGGACACAACATCTCGTTGAGGCATCATATCAAACACCATTTGAGCTTGTTTAATGCTCAGACAACTAGCATAGATGTTGACAAGTGCGCTGCTAACAAATACATTCTCTTCCATTGCATGTTTGACCACAAACCCATGAATCTCTCTGCCCAAATTCAAATCTTTCAATTCTGAGCAAGCAGGCAGGATTGAAGACACAGTCACCGCATTGGGTCTCACTCCATTCAAACCCATCTCCCGAAAAGCCACCAAACCTTCTCTAGGCAGCCCACAGTTTACATAACAAGAACACAAAGACGTCCATGAAACCACATCTTTGGCCGGCATGTCATCAAAAACCTGCCTTGCCCCATCAACGTATTTACATTTTCCAAACATATCAACCATGGCATTACCCAAAGAGATATCTGAATGAAACCCAAATCGAATTGCTTCATCATGAAGTTCTTTAGCATTTCTGAGATCACCCAAAGACGCGCACGCCTTAGCAACCGAGAGAAGAAGAAGATTATCGGGAACAATGTGTCGACCTCTCAATGACGTGTAAAGCTTTATAGATTCCTTTGGAAACCCATGTCGCGTGTGGCCTGAAATTAGCACGGTCCATGCACGGAGGTCTGGATGGGGAATTTGGTCGAACAAGTGACGGGCACGTTGTAAATCGCCGGAATTGCAGTAAACTTTCAAGAACCGAAGGCTCAGGTGAGATGGGACGTTGGCGGGTAGCTTAGAAAGCATTTGATCTTAATGTTTCAACGGCTTTTTGCATCTTCTTCTAATTTCTAGGGACAAACTTGAAAAGTTTGGTTTCTTCGCCCCAGGACAGGTAAATATGCGGACGATGACTTTTTGTTAATGTTATTTCAGTGTGGTCTTTTTTCATATAATATTTTTAGTGAGGCCTAAACCTACATCTTCATCATAATTGGTTGACAAAAAATGTTAATTTCTGCCTTAATTATACCATAGCAAGAAAACCAATGTGACAGAAACGTGAAACAGGATCAGGAAAACCAATGTTATATTTCCACATGCACACATGGTGGCTGTCTTTGACTCTTTTTGCGGTTGGAAAGGTCAGATACAACATGTTAACCGAAAAATGCGACTTCTGAAACATAAGTTGGGAGACATGTATTTGTCATGTGTGAGTTTCCAGGTCTTTTCATTCGACATGTGAAAAGGCCTTATATATCGTATGTCCTCATGGTCCATATCCATGAGTTTCTTGCACAGTGACCAACTTTCCAAACCAAGGATTCGGGTCAATTAAGGAAAGTCTCACAACTATACGCATATAGTTTTTATCAGTATAAGAACATGTTTTACTTCTAGTTTTTGGTTCTTCCATCTTCTAGAGAAGTCCTGTGCTAATTTTTTTGGATACGAGTATACCATGCAAGCCTTGAGAAGCATTTTTGTGTGCTACTTCTTATTTCCCTTCTTAAGAATCTCCACTCCAACAACACTAGACACAATTACTCCAAATCGATATATTAGAGACGGTGAAAGTCTAGTTTCAGCAGGTAGAAGCTTTCAACTGGGATTCTTCAGCCCTGGTAAATCAAATGGTTGATACTTGGGAATATGGTACACTGTTGATACTGAGGCAGTTGTATGGGTAGCCAACAGAGAAACACCACTTGGCGATACTTCTGGAGTTTTGAAGGTCACTGAGCAAGGAGTTCTAGTCCTTCTCAATAGCTCAAACAGCATTGTATGGTCATCCAATACATCAACAACCGCAAGGAATCCGGTATCACAACTCCTGGATTCAGGAAATCTTGTTGTGAAAGATGGAAATGAAACCAACCCTGTTAACCTTTTGTGGCAGAGTTTTGATTATCTTTGTGACACATTCCTACCAGAAATGAAGCTTGGTTGGGACTTAGTTACTGGTTTAGAGAGGTACGTCTCGTCTTGGAGGAGCACAGACGATCCCGCTCCAGGAGAGTTTTCGTTACGGATAGATCATCGTGGTTTCCCACAAGCTGTTGTTGTGAAAGGAGCTAAGATAGTGGCTTCAGCAGGCTCATGGAACGGCCTTCATTTTACAGCATATCCATATCCTCCACAAACACGAGCAAACCCAACATTGGAGTATGAATTTGTGTTGAACAAGGAGGAGATCTATTATGAGTTCAGGCTCTCAAAGAGGTCCACGTTCTCAAGATATATATTGAATCCATCAGGCATTGCGCAGCGATTAACATGGGTGCACCAAACACATAGTTGGGAACTTTCCTCTACATTTCAAGCAGACCGGTGTGAAAATTATGCTTTGTGTGGTGCATATGCTAGTTGCAATATGAATGTCTCTCCCTTGTGTGCATGCTTGAAGGGATTTGTACCAAAATCTCCAAAAGATTGGAATTCGGGATATTGGTCTGATGGGTGTGTTCGAAAGATTCCATTGGCTTGCAGCTCGGGGGATGGCTTCCTAAAGTACACTGGGGTTAAATTGCCAGACACATCTTCCTCATGGTTTGATAAAAGCATGAGCCTCAAGGAATGCAAGGGATTATGTTTGAACAACTGCTCATGTACGGCATATGCAAATTTAGATATCAGGGAAGGAGGAACTGGCTGCTTGCTTTGGTTTGGCAAGCTCATTGAAATAAGGGAATTCACTTCCGGTGGTGGTCAAGACCTCTATATGCGGATGGCAGTTTCAGAACTTGGTAGCTCTTAAACTTTTATTTCATCTTATTTTTATTTTTCTATCCAACAGTGGATAACATTATCACAATATATTTAGACGTTAAGGGAATGAGGTTTTGTCAACTTGTTATGTTTTGCTTTTGGAAGTGTGTTTGATGGGGGCTTCAGTTAGAAGCAACATGTTTAAAATTATTGATCTTGGTCCATAATCAAAGGCCGAACGACATGAAAACCACAATGGTAGTTATTTCCTCAGTTGGCCTTGCTGCTTCATCTGCAACCTGGAATTGCTTACTGAATTGCATTAAAATTTTGTTTCAATTCTGATATTTCAGATCAAATTGAGAAAAAGGCAAGTTCAACAAGAAAAAGCTACCTGGAATTCTTCTCATCAGTTCTACACTTTTTCTTTTGGGAACTTTAATAATTGGCTTGATATTGTATAGACGGAAGAAGAAACTCAGAAGTCAAGGTAAATATCTCAAACGTGGACCCTGATTCTTTCAAATGCCTGATTGGATTGATATATGCATTAGATAAAGTTGTTAGTATCTAATTTAGGTAGTGTGTGATTTTCTTGTGTTCCAAGATTTGGTTTAGGGTTAAGCAAATAACCAACACATGGCATATTGTGATTTGATCAATTGATTAACCAAGAGAATTCTTGCATTTATTCATGCTGAAGAAATCTCACACCCATTTCAGGAGTCAGAAGCATGGATTGCAGAAAATATTACCTTGGAGAAGACATGGGATTACCACTATTAAACTTTACCACTTTAGCTAAAGCCACTAATGACTTTTCAAGCAGTAACAAGCTGGGAGAAGGTGGTTTTGGACCTGTGTACAAGGTAACAGAAATTTATGCAACTACTAGTGAGCTATTCTGTGATACAAGTTTTAAGACTTTTCTAAATGATGATCCATAGGGTATATTGATAGGAGGGAAAGAAATTGCAGTGAAAAGGCTTTCAAAGGATTCCGGACAAGGACTGAGGGAGTTCAAAAATGAAGCTATGCTGATAGCCGGACTTCAACATCGTAATCTTGTAAAGCTTTTGGGTTGTTGCATTCAAGAAGATGAAAAAATTTTGATATATGAATTCATGACCAACAGAAGCTTGGACTTCTTTATTTTTGGTATGGTCCTCCCACCATCTTTAATGTTATTCTACAAGGATTCAATGGTGCATTGACTTAACAGGATCAAAATTTCTTCAGATCATGAGGGACAAAAGTTGCTCGACTGGGCTACATGCTTCCACATTATTGGTGGAATTGCTAGAGGGCTTCTTTATCTTCACCAAGACTCTAGATTGAGAATTATCCATAGAGATTTGAAAGCTAGCAATATCCTGCTTGATAATAATATGAACCCTAAGATTTCAGACTTCGGCCTCGCTAAAACATTTGGTAGTGATCAAAGTCGGGGTAATACAAAAAGAGTGGTTGGAACGTAGTAAGTATATTTTCTATGGTTTACGTTTTACATTGTGTTGTTTTTGTTGAAATTCTTACTCAACTTATTTTGATTGTGCAGTGGTTACATGTCTCCTGAATATGCAGTAGATGGAATTTTCTCGATGAAATCTGATGTCTTTAGCTTTGGAGTAATACTGCTAGAGATGTTGAGTAGGCAAAATAACAGGGGATTTTCTAACCCAGATCACCACCTTAACCTTCTGGGACATGTGAGTATAAAGCATTAATAAGTACTATCATTTTACTTTGAAGAACCTAGCGAATTAGACAGTGTAATCTTCTCAGCACCTCCTTCTTTCAATGACATGCCATATAACAGTACAGAGGGTTAATGTAGCAATGCTCCAATACATGCCACCCAGTGACCAATTGTATATGTTTCAATTCTTTAAGGCATGGATACTATGGATTGAAGATAAAGCATTGGAACTGATTGATAAGACATTACGTGATTCGTGCACCATATCTGAAGTGTTAAGGTGTCTTCATGTGGCGCTGTTATGTGTGCAAAGAGTACCTGAAGATAGACCAAGCATGTCATCTGTGGTTCTAATGTTGAGCAGTGACGTTACCTTGCCTCCACCAAAGCAGCCTGGTTTTTACACCGAGCGAAGTGTCCCTGAATCACCCTTAAGTACACGCCGGTGTTCAGCGAATACTTCCATTACAATAATAGAGGCTCGGTAGATCATCTTTCTTGTGCTTGTTCATGCGTCTGTCTACCATTACAAAATGTATTTGGCAGGTTGTCTACAACTTTGTAGTCTTAGCTAGGAAACAATGACATAAGATTATTCATAGTGTCCAAAAAAGATGTGATTGAATTAGAAGTTTGCTTGGAGTTGTTGGGTTGTTGAAGAAAATTCTAGGGGTGTGGCCTGATATCAACACAGTCGATGTACGCTGGTCTGGGTGGGGAATTTGATCGAACAAGTGACGGGCACGTTGTAAATCTGCGGAATTACAGCAGACTTTGAAGAACCGAAGGCTCAGGTGAGATGGGACGTTGGCGGGTAGCTTAGAAAGCATTTGATCTTAATGTTTCAACGGCTTTTTGCATCTTCTTCTAATTTCTAGGGACAAACTTGAAGTTGAAAAGTTGGGTTTCTTCGCGCCAGGACAGGTAAATATGCGGATGATGACTTTTTATTAATTTTATTTCTGTGTGGTCTTTTTTTATATAATATTTTTAGTGTGGCCTAAACCTGCATCTTCATAATAATTCGTTGACAAAAAATGTTAATTTCTGCCCTAATTATACAAGAGCAAGAAAGAGTTTTTCTATTTAAACCCCACACTTCTCTTTGTTGACCCTATGTTCTAAGTTCACCTCAACTTCTAATTCAAATTTTTACAATTTCTAAGAAAACTCCACTATTTTCTCAAACTACCATAAATAAACACCATGCAAAAAAAATTAAAAATATAAGAGTTTTTCTATTTAAACTCTTACATTTTTCTTTGTTCACTTCAATACTTAAATCATTAAGCTATTAAGTTTTATTATTGTATAAAAAGACAAAATAATCATATATTGTCATTAGACGATAGTGAAGAGGCAGAAGTGGTGAAGCGTGATCATGAAAACGAAGGTGAACAAGAGATGGAAGTGGTGAAGGATAACCAACACAATCAAGGTGAACAAGAGCTGGAAATGTATAAGGATGATTATGCACGTATATTACTGACTCATCGATGTGGGACTGAGCTGTCAAACGATTAGAGGTCTTGGCTTGTTCATCGATCCCACTAGAAGAATTGAAATGGGAGAGGCGGGTTCTTGGTCCAACATTGCATCAGATTATTGATCTGGATGGGAAGGAGTTTACGTTTACATGGTCGCGGGAATTTGGTGACCTCTTTGACATTTATGAAGAATGCACTTTTCCAATCCAGATCAATGACCTGATGTTTTTATGACCCCAAAAGACCAGCACTTGCTGCTTTTTTCCATTTCTTGACTGCCCTTATGTTGTATATATGGATATCTGATACCAAAATCTTTGTTTGTATTAATTGAGACCGTGAAGGTACTACAGAGTCTTGTCTTGGCCAGAATAGTGACTCCTCAGCTACCCTCTTAGGGTTCGTGCTCGGAAATTCCATCAAGTTACCACACTCATTCACGTTTCTCACTGGTAGCCACATTCCGCTAATAAATAGTATAGCTCCTCAACATTCTACCTCTCTAAAAGAGAAGAGTAATCTTGCAATAGGGTGTAGATGAGTTTGTGTTCTTTTTATAACTTAATATGAAGAGTGGTAGAGTGAATGAGATGTGTGTATTGATGTACTAGAATTAAGTATTAAGCTGGATGACATTTTTTGTCTTTTTACACAATAATAAAACTTAACAGGTTAATGATTTAAGTATTGGGTGAATAAAGAGAAATGTGGGGTTTAAATAGAACAATTCGCAAGAAAACCAACGTGACCAATGTTATATTACCACATGCACGCATGGTGGCTGTCTCCTGTCTTTGACTCCTTTTGAGGTTGGAAAGGTCAAATACAATATGCCAACCAAAAAATGCAACTTCTGAAACATAAGTTAGGACTAGGAGACATGTATTTGTCATGTGTGAGTTTCCAAGAAAATTCTACATGTGAAAAGGGCTTTATATATGGTATGTCCTCATGGTCCATAACCATAGTCCGTGAGTTTCTTCCACAGTGACCAACTTTCCAAACCAGGGATTCGGGTCAATTAAGAAAAGTCTCACAACTATACGCTTATAGTTTTTATCAGGATAACAACATGCCTTTTACTTCTAGTTTTTGGTGCTTCCATCTTCTTGGAGAAGTCCTTTGCTATTTTTTTCGATACGGGTATCAATGCAAGCTTTGAGATTTTGGTGTTCTACTTTTTATTTCCCTCTTAAGAACCTCCACTCAACAACACTAGACAAAATTACTCCAAATTGATAATTAGAGACGGTGAAAGTCTAGTTTCAGCTGGTGGAAGGCTTTGAACTGGGATTCTTAGCCCTGGTAAATCAAATGGTCGATACTTGGGGAATAGGGTACAGGGTGATACTGAGCAGTTGTATGGGTAGCCAACAGAAGAACACCACTGGGTGGATACTAATGGAGTTTGAATGTCACTGAGCAAGGAGTTCTGCTTTCAATAGCTCAAACAGAATTGTATGGTCATCCATTTCATCAAAACTGCAGGGAATCCAGTATCACAAATCTGGATTCAGGAAACTTGTTGTGAAAGATGGGAAATGAAAACAACCTGTAACTAACTTCTTGGTGGAAAGTTTTGCTATCGATGTGACACATTTTTTTTTTTTTTTTTTTTTTTTTTTTTTTTTTTTTTTTTTTTTTTTTTTTTTTTTTTTTTTTTTTTTTTTTTTTTTTTTTTTTTTTTTTTTTTTTTTTTTTTTTTTTTTTTTTTTTTTTTTTTTTTTTTTTTTTTTTTTTTTTTTTTTTTTTTTTTTTTTTTTTTTTTTTTTTTTTTTTTTTTTTTTTTTTTTTTTTTTTTTTTTTTTTTTTTTTTTTTTTTTTTTTTTTTTTTTTTTTTTTTTTTTTTTTTTTTTTTTTTTTTTTTTTTTTTTTTTTTTTTTTTTTTTTTTTTTTTTTTTTTTTTTTTTTTTTTTTTTTTTTTTTTTTTTTTTTTTTTTTTTTTTTTTTTTTTTTTTTTTTTTTTTTTTTTTTTTTTTTTTTTTTAAAAAATATCCTTATTTTTTTTTCATGTTATAATCATTTTAGCCTTTAAAACATAATCATCATTTTTTAAATTTTGTTTAGAACAGAAATTAGCAAAAATAGACTTGAAAAGCGCTTTTCATAACCACTTGTTTTGCTTCCAAATGCTATGAAAAGCGCTTTTTGTTATATTAAAAGGCTTTTAAACATTCCAAAGCCCAAAACAATGCAATAACATTTATCCATATATCCTTTCTTTGATTCCCTAGGGGACCCTCCCCTAATATATTGCTTTCAAGTTTTTCTGACAACTATTGTCAAAAACGCTTTTAGTTATTCCAAATGCTAAAAGCAGTGCAAATTTGCCAAAACCATACTGCGTTTGATTCTTACATAATTATTTTGTGGCGACTCAAGAGATCTCTTGCATGAAATCGAGGGAGGTGTCGCGGGTTGCTTTACTGGCAAGGGTTTCTCTATGCGAAAATAGATTTTTCTTCACTTCCAAAAGAAAAAGAATAATGTGTTCACGAGTTCATAAAGAAGATGCATCCTAGCATCCATATAGTGTGTGTGAATTTAGTATATTATCACCCTTCTCAATAGGAAAGGTTCTCAAAAAAAGAAAAAGAAAAAAGAAATAGAAGATGCGTGTATCAAGGGTCAACTATATATGAATAATGTGCAACGTAATGCTATCATTTGCAGTTTATTAATCTTCTTCATAGTTTTTTTATTTTTTATTCTCTCAGTGGGTACAACAGTAGCTCAAGACGACGCGATCACGTCTCAAATGGGTAGATGCTCATAAAAAAATGCATGTGTATGGCACAAGTTGACTTGAACATTGCAAGCTTAGCTGGGAAACAATGACTTGAGATTATTCATATTCTGCAAGTTAAACATGATCTCGAATTATAAATTTCCCTGCATTTGCAAAGGATGAGTTGTAGAAGAAATTTAAGGGGCCATATATAAGGCTTTGCCATTTATATTGTGTGTACAGTAGTAAGAGAGGTGATATCTTCATTTAAAGTGTTGTTTGAAAAGTGAAGCAATTACCAAGACCACTACAACTCAGCATGCAATTATTTAAGACAAACAATGTGTGCAATAACATTATTTAGTAGCATTTGAGATAAGGAGGTAGATCAAAGGCAACATTCCCACAAACAAAAAAAAAAAAAAAAAAAAAAAAAAAAAAAAAGAACTTTACAAATTTTTTCTCAAATCTCTATCTTCTTTCTCTTATCAATCAATATTTTTGATATGTTTGAAACTAGCAAATTAATAAATATAAATGGAAGTAGGCCACAAAATTTCAAAATTGCTAGGGAACACGTTTAAAAAAATAAAAATAAAAATAAAAGTATAGCCGCATTGCTATACTTAAATGCTCCGTTTGGATGAAGGAATTGCAAATTACATAGAATTTTAAAATGACGGAATTTAGATTTCCGTCATTTCAATTTCTGGCAATTGAAGATTTCAGTGTTTGGATTTATGTATGTCGAATTTTGTAAATAACAGAAATTGAAAATTTCAATGTTTGGATAGCTCATGTAAATTATAAATGAAAGAAATTAAATATTTCGAAAAAACAAAAAAACTGATAACTGACATAGAAGGTATTCCTTGAAGTATGAAATAACATATCGTTTGATGAACTAAATAACTCAACTTAAACAAACAAAGCATATTAGCAAACCAAATCACTCCCCACGTGCAATGAACATCAGTAACATACTTTTTTTTTTCTCAATTGGGGGTGCCTATGGAATTAGAACTAGAAGCAATCAGCAATCAAGACCCTGATACTTCTTTTTCACTTGGCAAAAGACCAATGACCAGAGAAACTGAAAGGGCTTTGATTAAAAAGTTGCAAACAAAAGTATAGGAATAAATGATGAAATCAATGAATCACTATCATAAGACTTAATTTAAGTCCCAAAGAATGAAGGAGCACCTTGGCCAAGCTGCAGCTTACGAGCAAGTTGGTGTAGCTTACAATCAACATCTAATGGCTCACACAAAGCGATAAAGCTAACAAACAACTACAGAGCAAGGCGATAACACAAAGTGATAAAGCTAGCAAACAACTACAGAGCGTACCATAAACACCAATCACACACCAATATCCATGGGCATAGAGTATTTTGTTAAAACTTCCCAAAAATCCAGCCACAGTGCCGCAAAGATCACAAAACCCATTCAACACATTCATAAATTTAGTCAAAAACACCCAATTTTGATAGCCATTCAGAAACCATGGTAACCCTAAAATAAAAAAATATAAATTGAAGGAGAGAAAGGCTTGAAGACTAACCTTCAAACTTGATCCAAAGAGCCATGTAACCCAAGAAGAACTCCTTCTCCTTACTTCTCTGGCTATACTCAGTTTCATTGGTTTTTGTTGTTTTGTTTTTTTTTTTTTTTTTTAAAAGTTTGGTGGGTTTTTTTTTATGTAAGTTTTGGCACACAGGAAAATATGAATTCCCGCACTACGGAAATTGTGAAATGACGCCTATTTTGGTGGAAATTAAACTCGGGAATTTGATACCTCAATTTCCATGATTTTTTCCACGCGTCATTTAATAAGTTCCGCGTTTAAGTTTGCCAAACAAGGGAATTGTCAATTTCTCTTCTTCAATTCCTGACTTTTACCTAAATTCCGAGTTATTTTCCCTCATCCAAACACAGGGAAAGAGTATAGCTGCGCGGTTATACTGGGGTTTTTTTAATTTTTTTAATTTTTTAAATTAATAGGCTATACTCATAATTATAAAAAATAAAAATAAAAATATAAAAAAGGGCCACCAAGGCAAGTCCTTTTTTTTTTTGGGGTAATAATAGTATAGCCGAGCCGCTGTACATGACCATTTTTAAAAAAAAAATAGTATAGCTGCACCGCTGTACTATTTTAATATATATTTGGATCTTTCCCTTGAAGATTCTATCGACGTATCCTGACAGAAGACAAGAGGATGGCAAAGAGGCTTGGCTGACTCTTTTTATTGGGCAAGCCCAACCCCAGTTAAATTTGTATATATATTTGGATCCATCTGAATATTAATTAATAATCATTAGCCAATATTTAAATTGTTTTCAGTAGCGTTCAAATTGTTTGCACTAGTGGTGATAAGATCCTTAAACAAAGACTTCTCTGTCAGTCTATTGCCTGTATAAATTCAATGACAGTAGGGCATGCAAAGTAAAACAACCACACAGAAGTGAGAACAAACAAATATTAGAGAGAAAAATGAACGTTGAAGTGGAAGTAATCTCCAAAGGGATTATCAAACCATCTTCTCCAACCCCATACCATCTTCGCAATTATAACTTTTCCCTTCTTGATCAAACACATCATCCAGTGTACGCCTCTTTGGTCCTCTTCTATGAATTCAATGGCGAGACACAACCCACCATTATGGAAATATCCAATCACCTTAAGAAGTCCTTAGCCGATGTATTAACCCCCCAAGATCAGTCGAATGTAATTAAGAAACCAATTCAAATCAAACCATTGAAACTCGGATCGAGGCTATAATATGGCTTAAATTTAAATTTGGGCCTATCTAACCTTGTAATTGCGTTTCATATCAATAAAAAACATATCCAAAATGTTAATGTGTGTTCATGTGGGTCTGTTGTGTGTGCAACGACGTGCCTGTGATAGACCAAACATGTCGTCTGTGGTTCTAATGTTCGGAAAGGGATCACAAAATGTGTTTGGCAGGGTAATGTTGACTGCTTGGAAACAATCAGTTAAGATTTTTCATAGTCTGCAAGAAAGATATATTGAGTTTATAAATTGGTCTAGCAACAAAGAAGGATTTGGGTCTTCTAGTGCTTCAATTACACTATTGGGGACAGATATGTCAGCCAACTGCTTCACATAGTGCACACGTGACTCTGATAATCTGTTGAAAGATATATAATTATTGATAGGGTATTTTCCTTTAGCTTTAAGATCTGCTTCACATTGTACTCGAGGTTTGCCACGGTTCTTCCTTTCTGGAAGCTGATATGTAGGCTCTGTGCCTTCTGAAATTAAATCATAATGGAATATTTCATTAGTGTTATCAGTTTCAGGATAAGATGTTACCTGAATGACATCTTCAGCAGGTGATTGGTGTGGTACTGGAGCTGAAGAAGTCTTCGGAGTGGGCAAAATCTCATCAGTTTCCTCCTCTTGAGTTGAACAGCAAGGGGACGACAGATCAAACAATCGAAACTCAGGCCGAGGCTATAATATGGCTTAAATTTAAATTTGGGGCCTATCTACCAAATGATGGTGACTGTTGCCTTTTTTTTTTTTTTTTTTTTTTTTTTTTTTTTTGTGGGTGCTCTAAGTTGAAAATACTAACGGTTAGGATCAACCATTGATGTCCCCAACTTCAGAACAAATGGCTAGGATAATGGCTAGACGTATACTCTATAGACTAATCCTTGGCCAGGAAAAAAGAAAGTATTTTCCAAAGATTGCACATCATAGTGAAAATGATTATTCTCACATTACGACATACTAATTACACTAAACTCGACTTTAATACTTAGATTTTGGAATATAATTGAAATTGATTATTCTGACAATAGAATTGAAACTGATTATTCTGACAACAGAATCACAACAATATCAATTAAACTAAACTCAGACCTTCTTTAATTAGCACTTAGTGCTACATGACCTTTGGATTTACAGAAGCATATTTAAGCAGCTCCGGGTTGCTTTCAAAATGCTCCATGATTTCTTCAGTAACACTCAACATTGCTTCTATTCCCTTGCCATCTCTTTTATCAATCAAAATAACCAAATCCTTAAGTCCAATACTAGGAATGCTCACCCATGCCGGCTTTCCCATCCGAAATTAGCTTCATAAAAAGGAAACCTACACCAACTTCCAGGGCATAAATGGTACATGTCAACATTCCCTGTCAACTTTTGACATTCTTGATCCCATTGCCATGCCTTAATAGAATCAAATGGTAGTTTTGTAGGATAAGTTTCTTTCTGCTGTTCAAGCCCTTTCCTGAGTTTGGCAACCAAGTCTTTTAGATCTATGGTCTCATCGTCATTCTCTTCTTGACCTTTTAATAACGATGGTGTAGCGATGACTACTAAATTAGCAACAACGTTCCCACCCAAGTTTTGTGGGAAGGGTGGCTCAAATCGTCTACGCAAGTCCATAGCCATTTTGAACGAAGATGGTCTTGACCCCAATGGTATGTTTGATGATTTGGATGATGCTTCCATAGCACATTTCCAAATGAGTGCTGAAACTACGAGGACACGAGTCGGTACATGAGGTGCCAATGCGCTGGCCAATGTGATTGGAGGGTTGCAATTTTTGAGGCATCAAACACAAACCTCTTTGTTATGTACTTGATGCCCACCAGATTGGGTGGTGATGGCTGTGATGAGTTTAAGAAATCTAGTGGTGGAAAATAAGACGCAGCATCAAATTTTGGGACCATGAAGGGTACCTGATCATCGTGACAATCATCAAGGGCTGTTTTGGCCCAACAACTGGTGAAGGCGGTAGATGTGGTGCCATCAACAACCCTATGTGAGAAATTCAACCCTATTGCCATTCCTCCACACTCGAACAAGTTGGCTTGCACAGCAAGCAACGGGAGCCTCGTGGCATCACCATCACCATCACCATCAGGTTGACCAATTGCTGGGACGAGCCCTGTTAGCATATCGGGATCTGGACGTTCAAAAATCTGCGATAAGGAACATTTAACTCGGGCCGTCACAAACTCAGCTCCATCATCAGTGCATTGGATCATGTCATGGCCTTTACTCAATCTTCCTGCTAAGGGGTAGAAGTGAGTGAGAGTTTTGGCTAATGACTGAATTAGATGCTGAAAATAATCTCTCTCTTTCATCCGCATGGCCGCCGTGTCTGTGGAAGTAGCTCCACCTCCTGAACCAGTAATATTATTGTTGGCGGCATAGAAGAGAAGCGTTGGGAAGTAAACGTGACTAGGAAGCATCTGATCCAAAACAGAGAGCTGTAGGGTTCTCAAGGGATGAGGAGTTGGGGATGATGGTTTGACTGTTTGCCTCTCAATGATTTCAACCTTGATCAAGTGTGTGGCCATCTTACTTTGTTCGCTATAGGCTATATCTCGCTAGCTACAAACTAATATGACTGTTTGCTATATATCAAGTCTGTGGCCATCTTACTTTCTTTATGGGCAAAAGAAAGGATCTGCATGGAATGAGAGTCTTACAATTCTTGTGTGAGTGATTAGTTTAGTAAGGTGGGATTTTGTGAAGACGAGACTTGTAGTTTTGAAGAGCAGATTATTTTAGCTTGGCGATTAGTTGCTAGATGGGATTGTTTATTGGTTTATTAATGTGTTAGGTGGGATTTAAATGCTTGCAGACAGATTCACATGTTCCTTAAACATGTTCCATTGTTTCTATAACACATTTTATCACATATTTCCCGAAAGAAGTCAAATGGCACCAATGATACAAATAAGGCTTTTTTCAAATCACAAATGGTTTATGAGGTTTGCGAAATTATCACCTTTTGTCTCTAACTTTTTTATGACACTAATAATCCTTAAGATTACCCTTCACACATCAAAATGGTCTGCTGTACTTAAGGTGAGAGATACTTCAGACCCCCCAAAAAAAAAGAAAAAAAGCTAAGGGATTCTTTTAGCTAGGCTTTAAATACTTGCGGACTGATTCTCTCAGGACAATGATAGATCTGCAATTGCTTTTTGCTGTAAGATTGCAGATAAAGATAGATTGGTATCGACACCATATCAAGGTGATATCCACATATCATGGATCCATTTGAGAACAATGTTACAGTAAAAGTCCTATTTGACAGGTTTTCCCAAAATATCTATCGGCCAACAAACTTTAATATTGAGATGGTAGAAGGAAATAAGAGAGCAATACCAAAGTTTTGAAAGGCGAGGTGTAAAGGTGACGCGTTTTTGATCCTGTAAAGCAAGGCGTAAGCCTTGAAGCGTTAAGTCGTAAGTTTTTTGTGACATAGAGCCGATTGGTTTTAAGATGAGGGTGACAAGTATATAGCTGAACTTCAAACTCTCTCCACGATGAATGCTCGAATTAAAAATATAGAAAATTTGGCATAAGTCCAGTTCTTATGAGAGATTTTAGGTGCAATCCACGTAGAAGCTATTGTTGATCCAAGTCCTTTGATGAGTGGAGTTTTGGAGGAGAGGGTTTTGCTTGACACTTTTATTTATTTATAATTTTCGGAGAAAATGGGTGCAGAGAAAATTCCACCTGAGAAAGAAACACAGAAGAATGACAGGTCCACTGGAGAAAATGAAGTTGATGTCCTTATTGTAAACGGAAGAGAGGAAAGTTAGGAAACTAAACCTCTCATGCTGCTATAAAAAAATTGATACTTTGAGAGATTTCACGAATCTGCATTTGAAACACGAATCTGCATCTAGCTACTTAAATCATTCTCTCATTTATATCTAGGTCAGATTCAAGACTGATTTCTTTAAGAGTATGGTTTCTTGAAGAAATTGGTCATTCTCCTTTGAATCCAAATTTTGGTTTCGATTTGTGTTGGAGCTTGCAAGCTAGTGTCATGGGATGAACGAGCTGGAGAAGGAGCTGCCATTGCCATGAAGAACTGAGCTTCAAGCTTTGCTAGTTGGAGAAGAAGATTGCACAAAGGAGGTATAGCTCATCTTCCTAAATAGATCTGGGTTTTTCTTGAGCTTGCTTGTGTTCCTTTGTAAGAATCTTTTTCTACTTAGTGGATTGCTTGGTCGGTTGATGACCCCCCAGTTTTTTCCCTAATGGTGGGTTTCTGGGTGAACAGTTTCTGGTTTCCAACTCTGTAAATTTTCTGGGTTTGTGTTCTTGATAGTTGACTAGTCATCTGGGTTTGTGGGATTGACTAGTCATCCTTTTCTGCTGTTTGGTGTTTGCTTGATTATGCTGTTTTCACACACTTTTACCATAGTTGTTGCTAGCACAGGGGATGCCTAGATTGACGGGTCCTTCTGAGTGTCAAGGTCTAAAGTGTGAAGTTTGCTGCGTTCTTGGTTGAATATCTTTTAAATTTACCCCTCGTCACCTAAGTACCATTTCAGACCTCTAGAGAGAAAAAGAAAAAAGAAAAGCGAGAGCCTAGGCAGAGAAGGAAGAAATAGGAGAGCAAGAGGAGAGAAATTTTCCCAGAGAAAAATGTGAGCCAATGAGAGTGTAAACACCAAGTTATATTCCTTTTGTAGCCCTATTATTTTACATAGTGAAAAGGTTAGTGTTGTTGATGCTCTCCGAGACATAGGCACAACTTGCCGAACCTCGTCAAATATTGTGTTTTATTTACTTTATGTGCAACCTTTATATTCCAGTACCATTCGTTTATTATACAACAATTGTAGATTTTTTTTTCTCTTTTTATCAGTAAGATCTTTAGTTTTTCTTACAACCAATGATGGATAATAATATGAGCAATATAATATTGATTTGATTATATTCTTTTCATGAAGACAACAAATTCAATAACCATCTTCTCACAAAACAATTGAAAGTGATTATTCTCACAGCTAGCGTAATGAAAATAATTATTCTCACGACACACAATACTAATTAAACTCGACTAAACTCTGACCTTAACACACAGTGCTACATGACCCTTGGATTTACAGAAGCATATTTAAGAAGCTCCGGATTGCTTTCAAAATGCTCCATGATTTCTTCACTCAAACTCAACAATGCTTCTATTCCCTTGCCATCTCTTTTATCAATCAGATAAAACGCATCCTTACAACCAATACTAGGAATGCTCACCCATGTCGGCTTTCCCCATCCAAAATCGGTTTCATAAAACGGAAGCCTACACCAATTCCAGAGCATAAATGGTACATGTCAACATTCCCTCTCAATTTTTCATATTCTTGAGCCCTTTGCCATGCCTCATTAGAATCAAATGGTAGTTTTGTAGGATAAGTTTCTTTCTGTTGTGCAATACCTTTACTGAGTTTGGCAACCAAGTCTTTTAGATCTATTGTCTCTTTACTCTCTTCTTGACCTTTTAATGATGCTGTTGCGGTGACTACTAAAATACCAACAACGTTCCCAGCCAAGTTTTGTGGCAAGGGTGGCTCAAACCATCTACGCAAGTCCATAGTTAGTAGGATCGAAGATGGTGGTATGTTTGATGTTTTGGATGATGCTTCCATTGCACATTTCCAAATGAGTGCTGAAACTACAAGGACACGTGTCGGTGCATGAGGTGCCAATGCGCTGGCCAAATTTGATTGGAGGGTGGCAATCTTTGAGGCATCAAACACAAATCTCTTTGTTATGCACTTGTCTTGTTTAATGATGCCCACCAGCTCGGCTGATGATGGCTGTGATGAGTTTAAGAAATCTAGTGGTGGAAAATAAGACGCAGCATCAATTTTGGGACCATGAAGGGTACCTGATCATCGTCACCATCATTAAGGGCTGTTTTGGCCCACAACTGATGAAGGCGCTAGCTGTGATGCCATCAATAACCTTATGTGACATATTTAACCCTATTGTTATTCCTCCACACTCGAACAAGTTGGCTTGCACAGCAAGCAACGGGAGCCTCGTGGAAACACCATCACCATCACCGTCAGGTTGTCCAATTGCTGGGACGAGCCCTGTTAGCATCTCGGGATCTGGATGTTCAAAAATCTGCGATAAGGAACATTTGACTCGGGCCGTCACGAACTCAGCTCCGTCATCAGTGCATTGGATCATGTCATGGCCTTTACTCAATCTTCCTGCTAAAGGATAGAAGTGAGTGAGAGTTTTAGCCAATGACCGAATTAGATCCTGACAATAATCTCTCTCCTTCATCCTCATGGCCGCCATGTCTGTAGAAGTAGCTCCACCTTCTGAACAAGTAATATTATTGTTGGCGGAATAGAAGAAAAGCGTTTGGGCGTAAACGTGACTTTGAACCATCTGATCCAAAACAGAGAGCTGTATGGTTCTCGAGGAATGAGGAGTTGGGGATGCTGGTTTGACTGTTTGCCTCTCAATGATTTCAACCTTGACCAAGTCTGTGGCCATCTTACTTTGTTTGCTACAGGCTATATCTCGCTCCAAACCAATATGACCGTTTGCTGTAGGCTATATCAAGTCTATGGCCATCTTACTGCTCTATATAGGCAAAAGAAAGGATCTGCAAGGAATAACATAAATTAGTATAGTATGCCAACTTCTTCTGTGAGTGATTAGTTTAGTTTGGTGGGATTTTATGAAGACGCGAGACTAGTAGTTTTGATGGTGGCTCTAGCTCAGAGATTCTTCAGACCAAAAAAAAATAGTAAATTTGGCTTACACCCTTCAAATTCAATTTACCTTACCTAAAACCCTTCACTTTTTGTTCCTATAAATAATACCCAATTTGTATAAGTAAAAACCCATGACTATGATCCAACTCAGCAAGTTACCTAATTAAGCATAAAATCTGATTTATTGTACTTTTCAGATTCCAAAAATACCCCCAACTAAGCCATTATTGTATTTTGTATATTAATGTAGGAATCAATATAGAAACAGTTTTTAATTGGATTGTATATAATGACAGATGTTGAATTTGGAAAGATCTCCAAATGGTTGTAATGGATGTAGGAATTAATTTTGGAACATTTTTAAAAAATTTAACAATAAATTCAAATTTAGGTAATCGGTTTGTTTAATAAAATGTTTATGTTATTTTCTTTTTATGAATTATACATGACTAATAATCCACTTTATAATTGTTTATGAATAAAACTGTACATACTAATTATGTTGAAAAAATAATGTAACTATTACTTGTTTGTTTTATGAAAAACATAATTTACCTAGTATGAAAAGTGTACATAATTATCTATTCCAAATAATGTACCTATACACATTTACAGGTATATTGTAAAATAATTTACTTGTGGGTAAATAATGTACCTATATTTTATATAAATTATTGTGTACCTATTTTTAATTATGAAAAATATACGCAATTACAAAGTAACTGTTTTTTTTTTTTTTTTTTTTTTTTTTTATATAAATATATATTTATATGTATATATATTATATTATATTTTTACATTATTGGATATGTAATTTACAGATTTTTTGTTTTGTTTGTAATTTTAGGGGGCGAGATGTGAGAGGGAATGACAACTAAAAGAAATGGGGTGATTGATATGTTATTAATAGGGAGTATATTAATTACAATTATGGCAGTTAATGAAATGCTTGAAATAAATTATAAATAAAATATGAAGTTTAGTGGCAATGATGTAAAAACATAGAAATACTACGACCTCTTATATCCTATTAGTCATTTAAATTTGAAATTGGGTTTTACACATAGATTTATAGAGTGATGGGTATATGTCTAGGAAATAGAAAATGTAAGGATCTATATTGGATAAGCCCAAAAAAAAAGCAGACAGATTCTTTTGTCCAGGATTTAAAGGCTCTCATGGTGATTAGTTGCTAGATGGGATTGTTTATTGGTTTATTAATGTGTTAGGTGGGATTTAAATGCTTGCAGACAGATTCACATGTTCCTTAAACATGTTCCATTGTTTCTATAACACATTTTATCACATATTTCCCGAAAGAAGTCAAATGGCACCAATGATACAAATAAGGCTTTTTTCAAATCACAAATGGTTTATGAGGTTTGCGAAATTATCACCTTTTGTCTCTAACTTTTTTGTGACACTAATAATCCTTAAGATTACCCTTCACACATCAAAATGGTCTGCTGTACTTAAGGTGAGAGATACTTCAGACCCCCCAAAAAAAAAAAAAAAAAAAAAAAAAAAAAAAAAAGGCTAATTCTTTTAGCTAGGCTTTTAAATACTTGCGGACTGATTCTCTCAGGACAATGATAGATCTGCAATTGCTTTTTGCTGTAAGATTGCAGATAAAGATAGATTGGTATCGACACCATATCAAGGTGATATCCACATATCATGGATCCATTTGAGAACAATGTTACAGTAAAAGTCCTATTTGACAGGTTTTCCCAAAATATCTATCGGCCAACAAACTTTAATATTGAGATGGTAGAAGGAAATAAGAGAGCAATACCAAAGTTTTGAAAGGCGAGGTGTAAAGGTGACGCGTTTTTGATCCTGTAAAGCAAGGCGTAAGCCTTGAAGCGTTAAGTCGTAAGTTTTTTGTGACAATAAGAGCCGATTGGTTTAAGATGAGGGTGACAAGTATATAGCTGAACTTCAAACTCTCTCCACGATGAATGCTCGAATTAAAAATATAGAAAATTTGGCATAAGTCCAGTTCTTATGAGAGATTTTAGGTGCAATCCACGTAGAAGCTATTGTTGATCCAAGTCCTTTGATGAGTGGAGTTTTGGAGGAGAGGGTTTTGCTTGACACTTTTATTTATTTATAATTTTCGGAGAAAATGGGTGCAGAGAAAATTCCACCTGAGAAAGAAACACAGAAGAATGACAGGTCCACTGGAGAAAATGAAGTTGATGTCCTTATTGTAAACAGAAGAGAGGAAAGTTAGGAAACTAAACCTCTCATGCTGCTATAAAAAAAATTGATACTTTGAGAGATTTTTGAGCACACCAAGTATTTTTTTGTTTTTTTAAGAAAGAACTCTATCCAAGTATTTACCAAACATCTTAGCTAAATAAATAAAAAGTCTTTATAAAACATCATATTCATATATATATATATATATATATATGTATTTTAGAGAATTTTAGGTCTTTATAAAAACTTGTCCATTCATCAAGTTTTGTGCCTTTAAATATTGCACCTCCATTCAAAAATTCTTAGGTCCGCCAATATATATAAAGTCTGTGGCCATCTTACTTTCTTTATGGGCAAAAGAAAGGATCTGCATGTAATGAGAGTCTTACAATTCTTGTGTGAGTGATTAGTTTAGTTAGGTGGGATTTTGTGAAGACGAGACTTGTAGTTTTGAAGAGCAGATTATTTTAGCTTGGCTTATAGTATAATATAATGTGTTACATGTGTTAGGTGGGAATTAATGAAGACGAGAGAGACTTACATTCCTAATGTATATATCCCGACAACTTACCATTTTAGGTGGAATTTAAATACTAGCAGATAGATTCTCTCAGGACATAATCATAAATTGACGGAGATCTGCAACTCCAAACCCTCTTCTGAACGATTTCAGAACGATTTCTGATTTGTACTTTATGAATATCAACATCCACTCTCTCTAAAATTCTAGATGTTGATTTATTATGGGTTGTACCATTTTGATCAGTACGTATATTATTGGACTTATTATGGGTTGAGGTTTTTATTTTATTTTAAATAATGTTCTCTAAATAAAATTCTCGTTTTTTTCTTCTACATTATAATGTTGTTCTAATTAAATTTTTTTTTTTCTAGAGGATACATTAACCAAAAATGCCTTTAAAAAATAGTTCACATATTAAGCTACCAGACTCATTCTCGAATACTGAAAAGCAAATTCGTTTTCTACTTTTCATTTTTTGAAAACATTCTCCAAAACTGTTACTAGACGGGCCCTAAAAGAATACCATGTATTGATATTCTTTCATTATTGTATCAATACGGTGCATATTGGTTTAAGACGAGGCTAAACTCTGAACTCTCTCCTTAATGAATGGTTGAGAAAGAATGCTCCGAGTTAAAAATATAGAAAATTTGACATAAATTCAATTCTAATGAGAGATGTTGGGTGCAATCTACGTAGAAGTTGTTGATCTAAGTCCTTAGTATTTTGAATGTTTCACCAGACTACGTTTGGTTCGTACATAATTATTTTGTGGAGACTCAAGTAATCTCTTGCATGAAATCGATGGAGGTGTCGCAGGTTGCTTGACTGTCAAGGGTTTCTCTGTGCTAGAAAAGATTTTTCTTTCACTTTCCAAAAGAAAAAGAGCGGTGTGCTCATGAGTTCATAAAGAAGATGCATCCTAGTATCTGTATAGTCTGTGTAAATTTAGTATATTATCACCTCTCTTAATAGAAAAGGTTCTCAAAAAAAGAAAAAAAAGAAAAAGAAAAAGAAGATGCGTCTATCAGGGTCAACTATATATGAATAATCTGCAACGTAATGTTAGTATTTGCAGTTTATTAATCTTCTTCATAGTTTTTTGTTTCTCAAGTGGGTACAACATGATCACGTCTCAATTGGTAGATGCTCATAAAAAAATGCACGTGTATGGCACAAGTTGACTTGAACATTGCAGGCTTAGCTGGCAAACAATGACTTGAGATTATTCATATTCTGCAAGTTAAACATGATCTTAAATTATAAATTTGCCTGCATTTGCAAAGGATTTTGGGTTTGTTGAGTTGAAGAGGAAATTTAAGGGGCCATATATAAGGCTTTGCCATTTATATTGTGCATGGCACAGGTATGGTGCTTACCCATTGAGATTGAAAACCAGCAGATTTTTTTTTTGAAATTGTGAATATTAATAGAGATTATGTCAATCCATTTATTTTCTTGAATCCCTTAGTTACTTACAGATTACATAAAGTCCGGTTTAATCAAGTTTAATGAACACAAACAAAAGTACCACGATTTTTAGAACACAAGCAAACTGAAATTTATAAAGAAAATTAGCAAGTACATGTGACATCCATAAGCAAGCAAGCAAGTACATGTAACATCCATCAGTGAGTTTCTATTGAGGGATCTCTCAAATAAGTTTATTTGAGGGACACCACTTGTAGGGCTCACTCCATATTTTATTTCACTAATTCTGACCGTATATTTTGTAGATGATTCAAAGATCATCTCTACAAAAAATCACTTGAATCCGATATCATTTGACCAGTCAATTTAATTATTGAAATTTTAGTACTTTCTTGAAGCACCAGTGTTCATTGATTTTGTAGGACACAATTAGATGTCGAAACGATTTCCGATTTGTTTAATTTTTGCAAGGATGATCTATGAATGTAGACTTGAAAAATAGATGATTTGGATCGTTGAAAAAAAATTGTAAGGGACCCTAGAGGGCGTCCCTCAAACAAAATTATTTGAGAGATTCCTCAATAGGATATATAGGGTAAATTACTCAAATGGTCCTCAAACTTATACTCGATTTACATTTTGGTCCATCAATTAAATTATTCGTTCAAATGGTCCATCAACTCTATATTATTCGCTCCATTGGTTCTACCGTTACATTCTGTCAATATTTCCGTTCAATATGAGGGCAAATTGGTCATTATTTATCCTAAAATTAGGTAAAATCTAACATAAAATTAGACGGTAAGACCATTAGAGTGAATAATATAGAGTTGGTGGACCATTTGAACGAATAATTTAGTTGAGGGACCAAAATGTAAATCAGGTATAAGTTTGAGGACCATTTGAGTAATTTACCCAATATATATAGATCTTAGAAGATCTTGATCACAATATATATAAATATTATATTTTCCCCACGCAACGCATGGGCTCTATTTAAAATCCTCGAAGTTCAATTCTATGTTATTAGGCAATCCCATTTGCAATATTTTTGAGTACGCGCCCCATGTGTAATGATTTAATCCTTAATTACTGCCCAATAATTTGGTCCTTTGTTAACTGGTCAAGCACTTATTACATTATTAGTATTACTAATCGTTTCAACTCTTTGTGACAATTAGATAAATACTTATCAGCCTATTGTGTGTGTGTATGTATATATATATGCATATGCCATGCAAAATATAAGAACCACACAATATCAACATATTTAGAGAAAATGAACGTTCAAGTGGAAGTTATCTCCAAGGAGATCATCAAACCCTCTTCTCCAACCCCAAACCCTCTTCGCCATTACAAGTTATCTTTTCTTGATCAACTAACTCCCCCATCGTATACCTCTTTGGTGTTTTTCTATGAATTTAATGGCGAGACCCAACCCGCTATTAATGAAGTATCAAAGAAACTTAAGAAGTCCTTAGCCAAGGTCTTAACCCTTTTCTACCCGCTAGCCGGACGAGTGAAAATCGACGATCATTTTGTGGACTGCAATGATGAGGGAATTGCCTACCTCGAGGCTCAAGTAACCAACTGCCGGCTTTGTGATTTTCTCAACAATCCGCTCCCTGATGAACTCAATAAATTTATCCCATTTGCGCAAGATGAGCATATTGCAAATGAAATTGCCCTCGGTGTCCAGCTCAATATGTTTGAAGGAGGCTTTGCCATTGGTCTATGCACTTCCCACAAGCTTGCTGATTTGCTATGCATGCTCATGTTCACCAAAACTTGGGCTGCCATTGCCCGTGATGAAGTCGAAATACAGCGTCCCCAATATGTTTCCGCCACACTCTTCCCACCCAAGGGGATCACCAGCTATAATTGGGGCGCTGGTATCGCGACGAAGAAAGTAACAAAGAGGTTTGTGTTCGATGCCTCCACGATAGAGGATCTCAGAGCAAAATATACAGGCTTGCAAAACGGTGAGAAACAACCGTCGCCTGTCGAGGCCTTATCGGCTTTCATGTGGAGGCGATTTGTGGAAGCTACCAAGGATGATCATGCTGATGAGAATAAGTTGCACAGCCTGATCCACTCTGTGGACTTGCGTCCGCTGATTGATCCACCGCTGTCTCCATATTCTTTTGGAAACATTTATGGTAATTCCTTGACTGCTCCCTTCTTAAGTAGTGGGGATGATGATGATGGTGATCAAGAATCTTCTTATGGCATGGTAAGGCGGGTACGAGAAGCAATAAGCAAGATTGACAAGGACTTCGTGAAAAGACTACAACATGGTGATGAGCAGCTGAGTTTGATCGGCCGGCTTGCTCAAAGCGCTAGCAAAGGGGAGGTGGTTACTTCTTACCACAGTAGTTTGTGCCAATTTCCTCTCTATGATAATGATTTTGGTTGGGGAAGACCTATATGGGTGAGCTTACCACCACTGCCCGTGAAGGACATAATAGTTTTCCTCGACACCAAGGAGCCTGGTGGAGTAGAGGCATACGTTAGCCTTGCCAAGGAAGTCATGACTAAATTTGAAAGTGACACCTACCTCCGACGAAGGGTGGGCACGGGTCGGGTCGGTTCTGCAAGTTCATGCTTAATTCATCAACCAGCCCGATTCAATCAAGTTGTAACATTTCACACCCGAAATCAAGCAAGTGTTATTAGGAAACCAACCCAAACCAAACTAATGAAGCTGGGGTCAGGTTCAGTTTGTTCGGTTTGCTTCTGAAGCTTATGAAAAAATAGTTGGCATTAAAATCTATAAGGCTTGCTATAAAATAAGAAAAGCCCTTAGAGCTAAAAGCCACTTTAATGTTTTGATTTTTCTTTGTGTGTATTGTTTTGCAATTTAAGTTGCTTCTTGGCGCTGGTATCAATAAATTTTCTCAAAAAAAAAAAAAAAAAAAAAAAAAAAAAAAAAAAAAAAATGACGTACTGACTATTGACTAGAAAGGTAAACAATGTGATTTTGGAGTGAATGAATAGTGTACGGTTAAAAAAAATTGTTGGTCTTTGTCAGATCTGAGCCGTTCAATTGGAAAAGAATTTGAAAATAAATGGCCTAGATCAAAGAAGCGTTGGAGGTGTTGGAGGCTGATGCTTACGGGAATAAATGGCTATAAAATCTCAAAGCTATAAGGCCTATAGAGTTCAACCATAGATACCACAATTGATTCCATTAATGCTAATACATTATCAAATCATTCAAACTTGTTCAACTCTTAGATCGAACATTCACTTTGACTCCAAGTTTCCAACAATTCTACTGTTTTATTGATATCACAACCATGTCAGAGGAGGACGGTACGTACTATTGGCCAGCTCTCTTATCAGTACTCAGTTGGTGACCCCAGGGTTCAGAGAAGCATATTCAAGCAGCTCCTTGTTGCTTTCAAATAAGGCCATGTTCTCTTGGCTCAGAGTCACCCATGCTTCTATTCCATTGTCATCTCTTTTGTCCATCAAAACAGTTACATTGTTAATTGCAACAGCAACGTAGCTCACCCATGATGGCTTTCCCCATCCGAAATCGGCTTCATAAAATGGAAACCTACACCAACTTGAGCAGATAAACTTGTCTATGTCATCATTTTTCATCAGGTTTATGTACCATTTCATTTTTTGCCATGCTTCGTTAGAATCAAATACTACTACTGCAGCATAGCGTTCTTTTGTTTCTTCAAGTCCTCCCCTGATTTTTGCCACCAAGCCTTTCAAATCTATCACAGTGGAATTCTCTCCAGAGTGAGAATAGTTGGTTGTCGAAAAATCTACTAGATTCCCAACCAAGTTTTCTGGCAAGGGTGGCACTGCCATTTTACGCATGTTCACAGAGTGAGAGAAGACTGATGGCCTTATTAGGCTAGTCCCCAACGTGTTTGATGATGATCGGGATGATGCTTCAATTTTGCATTTCCAAATGAGTGCTGAAGCTGCTTCTACTCTTGTTGGTTTGGGCACAACTGAGCTGGTTACCTTAGATTGGAGAGCAGCAATCTTTGAGGCATCAAACACAAACCTCCTTGTTATGAACTTTTCCTTATCGACTTCCACGGATGGCAGTGGCTCTGAGTTAGAGAAATTTAGTGGAGAAAACAGAGATGCAGCACCAAATTTGGGAAGCTTTAACATATTTGACTGATCATGGGCAGCTGCAGTCCAACAATTGATGAATGTGCTTAATGTTGTGGCATCACCAAACTTATGAGAAATGCTAAACCCAATTGCCATTCCACCACACTCAAACAAGTTGACTTGAACAAGAAGCAACGTGCCGGTGCCCGCTTCTCTAGACTCGGGTTCAACTGGTAGGAATCGTCTTAACATCTCGGCATCTGGGTGTTCGAAAATCTCTGATAAGGAACACTTAACTCGGGCTTCCACAAACTCAGCTCCATCATCGTTACATTCAATCACGGCGTCACCTTTGATTCTTCCTGCCGAAGGATAGAAGTGAGTGAGAGTTTTAGCTAAGGATTGCATTAGATGCTGACATCTTTCATTGGTGGCCATGACATTGTTGCTAGTAGCATCAGCAGCATTGGGATAGAAGAGAAGGATTGGGATGTAGGTTTGAAGGGCCATCTGATCCAAATAGAGAGCTTATAATTTCTAAGGTGATGAGGAGTTGGGGAGGATGGTTTAACTGTTTGCCTCTGGATGATTTCAACCTTGATTTCTGTGGCCATTTTGCTCAACCTTGATTTCAAGTGATGCAAGCACAAACTGTGAATTGGAACAATGGGGCTGGTCTACCTTATAATGGATCGGGTTCTACATTGAATTGAATATAACTAGAACTACATTGTAGGCAAAAGCCCCACTACTTGTTGCCTCTCAAAGATTTCAACCTTGATGCTCTGTGGCCATATCTTGATAGTAGATTCTGTTAAGTGTGGAAAATAATGTCATGAATATTAGACCGCGGCATGGCCTGCCTTAAACATTGAAGAACTACCTACTTTTGTGGAATTTTGTAGTTGATTATCCAATTGTACTGGGATACAATTAAGTTAACTGGACAGTTGAGTTAATTTCTGGAGCAATTAGGCGGCTGTGCTAGGTAGCAGTCCCCAGCAGTTGCTTGGTTATTATGGCTAATCACTACCGAAAATCCGTATGCTAGCAGTTTTCTTTTAATCTCTTGGGAGGGCAACATTCTACATTGAAGAACTGCGTTTGAAAAGGCCAGCGTTCTACATTGAAGAACTACCTACTTTTGTGTTTGTAGTTGATTATCCAATTGTACTGGGATACAATTAAGTCAACTGGATAGTTGAGTTAATTTCTGGAGCAATTAGGCGGCTGTGCTATATAGGTGGCAATCCCTAGCAGTTGCTTGGCTATTATGGCTAATCACTACCAAAAATCCATATGCTAGCAGTTTTCTTTTAGGGTTAATGACATTTTAGTACCCTGAACTTACAACGTTAAGACATGTTAGTCCCTGCCTTTTCAATTTTAACAATTGCATACCCTGAGCTTGTAAATTTGTTACAATGTGGTTCCACCGTTAGGTTTCCATCAGGTATCTCCGTTAGTTGCCTACATAGCATTGTGGGTCCCACATTTTTTACATTTTTAAATTTGAAATTGATTAAAATATGAATAAAATATTAAAAACCCAAGAAAAAAAAATCTCTCTCTCTCTCTCTCTCTCTCTCTGTGTTCCCCCGATCAAACCCATACCATAACGCAACCACCCAGCGCCCCCTTCCCCTATGACCACCGCCTTTCAACCCAGCAACCACCCTCTCCTCCCCCCCCCCCCCCCCCCGGCCCCGATTTCCCTTTATCTGCCGATCTTCCTCTCTCTCTCTCTTCTCTCTGCTCTCTACCCCTTTCTCTCTCTGCAAATTCAAAAACCATCAAATTGGAAAGAAAAAAAAAATTTTGAACATTGTTTGCATCTGTGGTTGGGTTTGAGGGTTTGTTGGTGAAAAACATAATGTGGGAGGAGGGGGGAGGGCTCTGTGGGGTGGTTTCTCAACAACAAAGGGAAATCCCGCTAGGGAGGGGGGGGAAAGGGAGGTGGTTGCTGGGTTGGGGTTCTAGATTCGTTGGGGGTTGGAGGGCGGTGGTTATAGGGGAAAGAGGCGCTGGATGGTTGTGCTGCGATGGAGGGTGAGAGAAATTGGCAAAATGCTCTCATCTCTCTACCAAAAAATTGATCACGACACCCACCCTATCCTAGTCTCCCTAGCCAAACACCCTCACTACCCTATCGCAACCCACCCAAACGCCCTCATCTGCCTTATCGCAACCCACTGTCTCTTCCACGACCCAGCACACTCCGGCAACCAGCCTTCATAGCCCTAACTATAGTCTGAAATATCGATAATATCGATGAAATATCGAGGATATTTCGGTTTTTTCGAATCACGGATATTTTGGAACATATCTATATACATATCGTATAAATCGACAATATCGACGATAATATCGGAAAATATCGATGTCGATAATTTCGCTCACACTTCAGCAATATTTTGTCAAAATATCGATGTAATATCGCAAAAATATCGAAAATATCGATGTAAAGGGAAAAAAAAAGAAAAAAAAAACAGAAAGGGGACTTAAACCCCTCCCATTTTACTCCTCCGACACCTTAATCACCATATCACTTATGTTTTTGTGATAATATGCTAAAATATTTATATTTATATGGGTGACATGTTAACAATTACATACAAAACTATTTTGGGGATTTATCATTTGATGACCACTCTTCACAATACACATACTCTACACATAGAGATGATGAAGATAGTGAAAAATTTGAACCTTATAGGAACTATATGTTGTACTAAGTCACTCATGTATCTTACCATGCAATGTATGAAGTGTAAAATATTGTAGTAAATCGTTATATATAAATGATTATGGTGTGTTTAATCTTCTTTCATTAATTACTACATATTTTATACACTCACAGTGTTTGCCAGTTCGCTGCATAATCAACTTAAATCAGTTAAATCCATCATGCAATGCATTTCCTTATAATTTTTTGTGATAAACTAATAGATAATTGACTAAATAAACATTCTCCAAAGTTTCAATAAAATTTTTTCAAGTTTTTCTTACAATTTCCGTGAGTTTTATTCAATTTTTATCGATATCGATAATATCCCGATATTTCCATCGAAATTTCCATCTTTTTAGACTACCGATATTTCCGATATCATTGATATTTTAGTCCTTGGCCCTAACCACCCTCACATATCCAAATCGACCAAGCACTACCCATCAATAACCCCAAAAAATAATCACATCAATCAAAAATATCTAAATCTGATCAAGCAACAAGACATTGAAGCGATCATGCAGATGTAGGCAAAGGGTCAGGGTTGCGGAGAAGAAATTCAGAGGTTGGGGGGGTGGAGGAGGAAGGGGGAGGGATGGGTCTGGGTTTGTGACGGGGGAGAAAAAATCGCAAGAAATCGTCTTCCGAGGGAAGGGCGCGGGTTTTGTGATGGGTTCTGCAGCTTAGTTGAAAGAAAGATGGGGAAGGTCTTCGTAGTTGGTATGGTGGTGAGGTGGAGGCTAGTCAGGATAGGAAGAGAGAAGAAAGGGGGTAGGAAGGTCTGGTGGTCATGGGGAAAAGGGGAGAAGAAAATTCCTAAGATTCTTTTTTCTCTTTTTCTTCAATTTTCCCAAAAAAATAATATTTTATTCATGCATTAATCAATTTAAAATTAAAAAAAGAAAAATATGGGACCTATAAATGCCACGTAGGCAATTAACGGAGAGATCTGACGGAAACCTTAACGGCGGAACCACATTGTAACAAATTTACAAGCTCGGGGTATGCGATTGTTAAAATTGAAAAGGCAGGGATTAACATGCCTTAACGTTGTAAGTTCAGGGTACTAAAATGTCATTAACCCTTCTTTTAATCTCTTGAGAGGGCGGGATTCGAATATGCCTTTTTTGGCATTGTGAAAAGGAAACTCAAATGCATTCATTGTTGGAGTTATTTTCGCTCAAATACTTTTATATTAGTCCTCTTTTTAATAGGATTAGATTTTATCTATTAAGATTATTTTCCTATTTGGACCTTATTTTGGTTTAAGTAAAAATATCATTTTTCATATTTGACTTGGAGAGCATTTTTTTTAAATACCCAAATTGGTTATACTCTTACCACATTGTATACCACATTCTCATACCATCTTATGTGGCAGATGAGGTGGACAACCATATCAATTAAAATTATTTAATATTTTCTTTTCTTTTATGATTTATTAACACTTAAAAAAAACTATTAATTAAACTTTCTTTATTAAAATACACTTCATTGATTTAATTGATGTGACATATGATATGGACATGCCACATCATGTGGTATAGAAATGTGGGATAAAAATGTGGTAAGTGTAGCATTACTCTCATTGATTAATATTGTAGGCTTGTATAATCTAATGGGATTGGAAGTTATCTTGAAGAGTGAATAAGATGACACTAGTAAAAAAAGTGGTAACAGTCACCATTATTTGGTTACAATTGTGGCCGTGACAAAAGGCATTAGTCACCTTTTTTTATTTTTTTGGTGACTAAAAAGGCTTTTAGTCACCTTTTTAGCCTTTTTTAGTGACTAAAGCCTTTAGTAACCCCCACAACAGTCACCAAATATCACCGAAAAATGGTAAATGTTGCCACTTTTTTTTTTGGTAGTGTGATGAAATTGAATAGGACTTTTATAGAATCAAATCTGATTAGGCAAGATATTGATATATTGGCTTTATGAATTTTCTCTTGCAAAAAGTGCAACATGTCACATCCCTGGATCGGCCCTGTTGTAGCATGATATTGTCTGCTTTGAGCCCCCCTCTCTGCCCTCACGGTTTTGTTTCTGGGAACTCACGAGCAACTTCCTAGTGGGTCACCCATCCTGTAATTGCTCTAACCCAAACTCACTTAACTTCGGAGTTCCCATGTAATCCGAAACCAGTGAGCTCCCAAAAGGTCTCGTGCTAGATGGAGGTGAGCATGTACATATAAGGCACATCACCCCCTCTTCGTTGGTCGATGTGGGATGTTACACAACATGTCTGTATAAAGACATAGCGTGCATTTTCTTGTTTGAACAACTTTTCACATGTTTTGATCGATCATCTAAATTTATCTAGAATAGATGTGTGCATATATTCGAGATAAATCATCAAGTGTTCCATGTTTACTTCGTGATTTATCAAACACTTTAATCATTCATATTGCATTCATTTGCATTGTTCGGTGACTCATACGTTTAAGGGTACCAAGACCGTGGTGGCGGTTTTCCTCCCCGAGCTTGAAGCAATCGTGACTAGTATTGCGTTCAACATAAGGAGTGTCGAAAGATCATCCCGCGACAGAAGTTGAGTTATGAAGAAGTCGGTAAACATATTATCTAGAACGTGTCTAGAATAAGTGCGTGAGTACTTCTAGTAATCATCGTTCTATAGTGGATTTGTGTTGAACTGAGGAGTCCCGTGGATATTCCCCAGGGGTGGGGTTTTACCACGTAAAATAATTCTCTACGTGTTCCATTATTTTATGCTCAACACGTTTCAGGATTGATAAGTCATATCAATCCTGCTACCAAAGTTTATTTTTTGTTCATTGATTATAATTTTAAATTGGCCTATTCACCCTTCTCTAGGCATTCACGTTATCAGTAATTGTATATGGATACGTTAAGATTAGGACATTGCATGCCCCATTTATGCAAATTAATAACAATTTGACACATGCAAAATAATTCATTAAAAAAACACACACACACACACACAAAAACAAAATTTACATACATGTCAAACTGTGATTGACAGGAGTACAAGTTCTACTTACGAGGGCATGATGCAAGTATTTTCCATAAGAGTATTTATAGTACGAATTAGTCAAACTGTGATTACTTACCTAACATTGCCATACTGTGTGGAATACGAAGTGGAACCTTTGTACATTATTTACCCAACATTACCAACCTCTTTAAAATTTTGAGAATAGAGTTGGTCACCACCATTAATTGGTCATGATCATGAGTATCACGAATCACGATAGTGTTGGATGAGTGTGATTTAATTTATTCACTCCTCAAATCCTAAGGCTCCGTTTGGTTCGCGGAACAAATTTGAGGGAAAATCATTTCTCATGTCATTTCCCAAGGAATGGGAAATGAAAGATTCTTTTCCCACGTTTGGTAATACTAGGAAAGTAACCGGGAGATATCACTTTATTTCCTTTCCCATGTTTGTTTTGAGTAGGAATGGAAAACAAAGTTTGTATAAACTTTCAATTATACCCATATTAAATCAAATAAAGAAGAATGCATTTAATGATATATTGTAATTCTAAATTGTTAATGGGGACAAAATGTTTATTTAATATTGACTCATTTTTCCAAACTTTCTCATGAGAATGGAAAACAAAACCTAAGTTGGGAGGATGGCTTCACTTTTCCCTCTACTTTTCCATGGGCCAGGCAACGATTTCCCATGTCTGGACTTACCAAACATGGGAAAGTAATTAATTTCTCATCCCCAAGTCTCCTTTCCCATGAACCAAATAGGGCCTCAAAGTAAAACTCATCTAATGACACATAGGTGTTGTAGTGATGTTGCAAACGACCGATTACTCTCAATTGATACAGTGCAAATATATTCTCTAAATTTTTTGTCCTTTTGTTCTGGTTATAGTGAGGTCAGTTGATCACTAATATTCTGTAACATCCCACATCAACCAATGGAGAGGGGGTGATGTGTCTTATATGTACATGTCCGCCTCCATCTAGCATGAGGCCTTTTGGGAGCTCATTGGCTTCGAAGTTATGGGAACTTCGAAGTTAAGCAAGTTGGCGCTAGAGCAATCCCAAGATGGGTGACTCACTGGGAAGTTGCTCGTGAGCTCCCAGAAACAAAACCGTGAGGGCAGAGAGGGGGGCCCAAAGTGGACAATATCGTGCTGCGGCGGAGCTGATCTCGGGATGTGTCATATTCTTTGGATGTGAAAGATCCAAAGCATCTAAAATCAGGGGCGGATCCACATAGGGGCAAGAGGGGTCAATTGACCACTGCAAGCCCGAAATTCACCATTGGAGGCGAAGATGGGGCTTTCTTAACGTCAAAACGACAACGTTGTACAAAAACCTTATTTCCATTTTCATCATTTAAGTAAATGTCTTTGGCCTTTTACTTTCATTTATGTTTATATTACTCTATTTACTTAAGTTTACAATTTAAATAAGGAAGTACTCCCCATTTGGATTCAAACAAAAATACTAGAAAATCAAATTCCCACCAAATCAAAATATGAAAATTCGGTTTTAGTGCAAAATACGATTTAGGTCTCTTGGCGTGGGTTTGCGAAGGTACTCCCTCGTGTACAAATTTTCCACTGCATCACAGAATCTCACCAAGCACTCTAGGACAATAGATTTTCCCATCCTTGCAATCTTATCCACCTGCTCTGCAGATGCCCCATAATCAAGCATCCGCAAAGCAGCTGTAAGTTTTTGCTTCGGGATAAGACCCAAAGCTCCAACAGCATCATGCTTTTGAATGAAGTATGTGTCGTAATTACAAATATCATGCATGATTTTTTGGAACAAATGTGGCTGCATTCTTTATCTTTCTCGAAACTTAGAAGCAGGATATAACGAATTTGGGATAAAATAATCCTCCATGAGATTCTTACCCCGAGACTCCCTACGTCTGTCCACATTCGGGGCACGACGACGACGGTGTTGCCTTGATTGATCCATCATACACACCGCTGCTGCAAGCAGTTGTTCCTCTTCTTCATCGGCGTCCCGATCTTCTTGAGCACGTCTACGCCGGATTTCTTCCCTTTGTTTCTGTTGCCTCTCCAACACCCTCGACAAGTTTGACATTGAGAGTAGAATGTGTTTTCTAAAATCTGAGAAATGAAGGAATAGATAAGAGATGGTGTGAGAGGTATGAGTTGATGGTGTAGTTTTATAGAGGGATTTAGAAGATAGAGATGACACGTGGCACAATTTTAGAGGATGAAAATCTTATCTAAAATATGAGATTATAATTTTTTTAAAATATCTGAAAATCTTATCTGACATTTGACACGTGGCACAATTGTAGAGGGTGAAAATCTTATCTGAAATCTGAGATTATAATTTTTTAAAAATATATGAAAATCTTATCTGACATTGGACACGTGGCACAATTTTAGAGGGTGAAAATTTTATCTGAAATCTAATATTATAATTTTTTTTTCAATATCTGAAAATCGTATCTGACATGGGACACGTGGCACAATTTTAGAGGGTGAAAATCTTATCCAAAAATTTAATTACAAAAGATTATCAAAATTAATGGTTTAAAGTATAAAAAAATAGGAAATAAAGTACAATGAATAGTAATTGCCTTAGACTTGCCCTAGACTTTGCCCTCATGGGTGGAACCACAAATGCAAAGGCTGACACTATTCACGTGAATAGTGGCAGCCCTTGCTTGCCCTTGCCTTAGACTTAGCTCTTGTGGGTGGAGATGCTCTTATAATCCAGGGTTAGTCCCCTTCTACACTTAATTGGTTCCTTGTAATATATTTTTTTGTAGTATATTTAATATATATGGATAATTTTGTGTAGGGGTCATTGGGTGTTAATAATTGTGAGACCAGCTAAGGAGACTATCTATTACATGAATTCATTGCCAAACCGCTCTGTTGACGAGGACATGAGAAATATAGTGAATACGTAAGTTTCTTAATGAAAACCTATGATTTTTTATATCTGCATTTGATTGATACGACGACTTTTTCCAATATCGACGTTGTAGTGAAAACACAACGACGGTATATTATAACTGACGTTTTCAATCATTTACAACGTCAATATTTTCTTGAAATCGTCGTCCTAATTGAAATACCACGTCGATTTTGTTTTCAATTTTAGGACCTTTTAATTTTTTCTGTTAAACTTTCATTTAAAATTAACTTTGGTTATACGTCGTTTTTCTTCATCACCGACGTTAGAATGAAACACAATGACGGTTCTTATTTTCCGACGTTACGTCATTTGTTTTACAAAACCGTCGTCTTCAATTATTTACCATGACGGTTAATAATTTTGATGCTGATTTTTAGTTTTTTCATTAACACTTTTTGTTTTCTTGATACAGTTCAATGAAAATGTTTAACTCTCACATAGGGAAACAATCATCACGTAAATCACCCATATGGAAAAATCTACAGGGCACTCCTAGACAACCAACAAATGTAGAGTGTGGCTATTACGTGATGCGTTTCATGAGAGATATAATTCATGATCCAACCCTAGCCTTTGAGAAGAAGGTAAAATTTAATATATAATTTCTTTATTTTAATACCACGACATTTGCTTTAAAAACCGTCGTTTTATTATTTCTAACACGTCGGTTTTTGTTCTTTATTTGCAGTTTGACAAGAAAAAGGAACCAATTGTGTATACTCAAGAACATATTGACGAAGTCAGGCTGGAATGGGCAGAATTCGGGAACAAGCAATTACAAAACAATAATTGATAATATACATTTATTTAAAAATATTTAGGTTTATTTTAAAATTTTGACAATGTATATAAACATATTTTTATTAATTATTTGAACATTCATCAAAAAAATCAAATGAAATATATTTTTGTTTCTAATTTTTTTTTGTTTTGTTTTTTTTGTATAAAATATAAATGTGTTAAAATGAACTAAAATGAAAATAAATCATAAAAATGTAAATTAATTCCCAAAATCCGACGTCTCATTCATCTTTACATGTCACTTATATATAGTTGGAAACAAAACATCGACGGCATTTTTCAAAAACGACATTTAAGGTTGATATACATGTCGGTTTCTTTAAAAAACTGAAATCTACGAAAAAATTTGTAGAGACATACAACATCCGTTACATGTTAAATGATGACGTTGTATCCATAAACAATGTCATCATCATAATAGTAATAGACGTTGTAAATAACTAAACACATCGGTTATTACATTGCAATGTTTTATGTTTACTAGGACGACGTTACGAATTACTTAACGTCGTTGTAAACTAATGCAACGTCGGTTATGTACTTTTGTATTCAATTTTTGTATGACTTTTATATTTTATTCCTAATATTTCAAAACAAATTCCATAAAATAAACTGACAACTACTATGCACTCATTGGAAGATTTTATCTCCCCTAAATCTTTATTAGTTTGTATATATTCTCTCAGCATTCTCTCAATATTCTCTTATTATTAGTTTGTATATATTCTCTCAGCACTCTCTCAATATTCTCTTAGTTTGTATATTCTCTTAGATCTCTCTAAATATTTTGTTAGTTTGTATATTCTCTCAGCTTTGGTTTCTTAATATGGGTTCTTTTATGTTTTGGGAGCTATGGGTTCTTGATTGGGAGCTATATATGGGTTCTTTTATGTTTTGATGTTTGCATACTGTTAAGGGTTCTTTGAAATGGAATGGGGATGGAAGAATTAGGCGTTGGTTTTTTGTAAACCACGACGACGGTTGGTTTCACCAACCGTTGTCTAAAATTTTATTATACGTCGGCTTTTTATTTACTACCGCCGTTGTTGTTAGTCGACCATAACCCAGCCCTGTTCTTAAAAAAGAATACAGATATCTTGGTGTTTGCTTAAAGACGACGGTAAATAGACATACCGTCGTCTTAATATATGTTACGCGACGATTATTTTGTACAAACCGTCGTCTTAATATTGTGCAATTTTTTTTCATTTTTCCCACTTTGTTCTCTTCTCTGTCAATATAGTAGTGTTTCATTGTTGGTCTTTTCACTTTATTATATGTATGATTTTATAGTGTGTGAGATGGATAAGTCATGGATGCATGCGGATAGAAGATCGAAGACATATGAGTTAGGTGTGGAATGATTTTTGAATTTTGCTGTAGAAAATCTTTTAAATACAACTCATATTCGTTGTCCATGTGTTAAATATGGGAATATTCGATTGTTTGGAGTTGGATTTATAAGGGACCACTTATACTTTAATGGAATTGACCAAAGCTATAAGATTTGGACATGGTACGGAGAACCTTTGGAATGGACTACTAATGCTAGTAGAAATGTGGAAGAGGATGAGCAATGTGGGTTCAGTTTTGTTTCTGAAGTAGGGATGGATGATAATGATTTAGGCCATATTGGATTTGATCCTTATGAGTTGCCAATGTGATTGGGGATGAAGATCAACCCTTGTACCTTGGTAGAAGTAAGTACACAATGTTGTCGGCTTTGGTGAAGTTATATAATTTGAAAGCAAAACATGGGATGAGTGATGTTTGTTTTACAGAATTATTGATACTTCAAGGAGATTTGCTTCTAGAAGGAAATACACTACCTTCCTCTATGTACAAGGCCAAAAAGACATTGTCTGCTTTAGGGATGAGTTATGAGAAAATCCACGCATGTCCCAATGACTGCATCTGGTATAGGAAGGATTATGAAGATTCAACTAATTGTCCTACTTGTGGTGTCTCAAGGTGGAAGGAAGGCAAAGATTCAATCTTGAAAGAGGGTGTGCCAGCGAAAGTGGTGTGGTATTTTCCTCCAATTCCAAGGTTTAAAAGGATGTTACATAAGACAGCTAAGAGTTTGACTTGGCATGCTGCTAGAAAATCAGTTGACGGTCAAATGTCTCATCCAGCAAATTTCCCGTCTTGGAAACTTGTTGATGATAAATGGCCCGAGTTTGGTAAAGAGCCGAGAAACTTGAGATTGGCTCTCTCATCTGATGGATTCAATCCCCACAGTTCTTTAAGTAGCAGATATAGTTGTTGGCCAGTTATTTTAGTTACATATAATCTCTCACCATGGCTATGCATGAAACGGAAGTTCATGATGTTAACCTTATTGATTTCTGGTCCTAAACAGCCTGGAAATGATATAGACGTCTACTTAGAGCCTTTGATTGATGATTTAAAATCTCTGTGGGATGGGATTAGAGGAGTGTATGATGCACATATAGGAGAATACTTTACACTCAGAGGTGTATTATTGTGGACAGTTAATGATTTTCTTGCCTATGGGAACTTATCTGGTTGTGTTGTTAAAGGATATAAAGCTTGTCCAATATGCGGCGATGATACACCTAGTCACAGGTTGAAAAATGGCCACAAAATTTGTTACATTGGGCATAGAAAATGGTTACCAATCAATCATCCATATCGGAGGCAGCGTGCAGCTTTTAATGGGAAACCTGAATATGGCACGCCTCCCGAGCCATTAAACGGAGAAGAAGTGTTGCACATTGTTGAAGATATTAATTACATATGGGGCTCGAAAAATGGGGGAAGTGTTGGTGAGAATTATGGTGACAGAGTTTGTTGGAAGAAGAAATCAAAATTCTTTGATCTCGAGTATTGGAAATACCTTCATGTGAGGCATGTCCTAGATGTTATGCATATTGAGAAGAATTTTTGCGATAGTATCATTGGTACATTGCTGGAGATCCCTGGAAAAAATAAAGATGAGATTGCTGCTCGTTAGATTTATTAAACATGGGGGGTCAAAACTGATTTGCAACCCGAGTATGGACAAAGACGTACTCGCTTGCCTCCAGGGCCTTGAAATTTGTCAAGAGCAAAGAAGAGAGCGGTTTGCAATTCTTTCTATGGTATGAAGGTCCCTGAAGGTTATTGTTCAAATATAAAAATCTTGTATCTTTAAAAGATTCAAGACTTCTTGGACTTAAATCTCATGATTGTTATACCTTGATGCAACAATTGCTCCCTGTGGCAATTCGTTCTGTTTTGGAGAAGCCTGCAAGGTATGCAATAACTTGATTGTGCTTCTTCTTCAATGCTATATGTGCAAAGACGGTGGATGTTTCCAAGCTAGATAAGTTGGAAGAAGATGTAGTAGTTACTTTGTGTTTGCTTGAGAAGTACTTTCCCCCTTCATTCTTTGATTTCATGGTTCATCTAGTAGTACATCTTGTCAGAGAAGTTCGTCTATGTGGTCCAGTATATTTTAGATGGATGTATCCGTTTGAAAGGTATATGAAAGTGCTAAAAGGGTATGTTCAGAACCGTACTCGTCCGGAAGGTTGCATGGTTGAGCGGTATATAGCTGAAGAAGCTGTAGAGTTTTGCACCGAGCATTTATCTGAAGTTAATACAGTTGGAGTGCCTTCAAGCCAGAAGATGGGAGTTTCGAAGCCATTATCAGGTTGCACAATAAGCTTAGTTGATCGGGACTTGTTAAACCATACACATTTATATGTCTTGGAGAATACGGAGGAAGTCCTGCCTTATATCGAGTACGTATTACTTTTATTTTTCATATAGAGCCATTTTAAACATTATTATTCCTTATGTTTATCTTATATACAAGGAATCATAATGCTTGATTTTTGGTGTCAATGTAGGGAACATATGATCCACATCAAGACCACTTATCCAAAATTTAGAAAGAGAACAAAGTGGCTGCAAGATAAGCACAATAGCACTTTCATTCAATGGCTCCACTTTAAGGTATATATATGTTATTGAATGACATGCATCAACTGTTAATTTTCTTCCATTCTATATGTTGGATTGAATTAAGGTATATATGTTTAATTTGCAGGTTCAAAATGAACTTAATGGGGAAAAGCATAATGGCGTATCAGAAAATTTGAGGTGGCTAGCAGCTGGTCCAAGCATGGTAGTGCCATTATATAGGAGCTATCTTATTAATAGTGTTAAATTTAACACCAAGGCACAAGATGATGTGCGAATTGTCCAAAATAGTGGAGTTTATTTACTTGCACATACTATGCAAGTTGCTAGTGCCAAGGATAAAAACCCTATTGTCTTTAATATGGGTTTTTATGGTGTTATTCAAGAAATTTGGGACCTTGACTACCAAAAGTTTAGAATCCCAGTCTTGAGGTGTGATTGGATAGATAACACTTCGGGCCTTGTAGTCGACGAACTTGGATTTGCCTTTGTAGATCTGAGTAAAATTGGACATAGGAATAACCAATTTGTTATGGCTTCTCAAGTCAAACAAGTATTTTATGTTGACGACCCAATGCATCGTGGTTGGTTGATAGTGTTATCAATGCCTAATAGAGAATATAATGATGTTATTGGTGATGATGTGCTAGGTGATACTAGAATTGAGTGTGAGCCATTTACTAGAGGGATACCAAATGTTGACACATTTGATGACCTAGTGGGTGAGTTTGGGAATGAAAATATTAGAGATGGGTGTGAAGATATATGGATTGATTGATTGTTGTAATGTATGACCTTAGTTATTCAGTTAATTGTATGACATTAATTAATAATTATGTACAACATTTTAATTCTTATCACATTTTCATTATGCAGGCTTTGGGCAAGACAAATCAAAAATTAAAAAAGCTGGGTTAAAGCTGTAAAGTACGACGGTCAGGGATAAAAATTGGAAACACAGACGTCTAAGATAAAAACAACGTTGGGTTTCAAAAGGCAACAGACCGTAAAACAAAAAAACAGATGTCTAAAATAAAAATCAAGATGGTTTGCTTAAAATAAACCGTTGTCTAAACCTCAAAATAAAGGTCTTTCAGTTCCATTAACTGTCATGACAGATGTTCTGCACGTTTGCTAGTCTATAACAACTGACGTCTCCGCGCATACATACGTCACGACAGGTCAAACAAGCCACTTTTAAAAGGACAACCACGTCATTATGTAATAAGAACCGACGTGGTAAGTAATTACAACGTCAAGCAAGTGGATCTTTAGACGTAGTGAAATAATTAACCACGTCCTTTATTTTGAAGAAACAGACGTTGAATCTATAATTCACGTTGGTTATGTTTCTATCCACGCCTTAAATATATTTATAACGTCAGCCCTTGACATAAATCGATGTGGGGGAGAGTTTTGTACGTCGATATTGAGTAATATTCTGTCATTTTAAATATTTTAGACGTCGGTTAATTAGAAAAAGTGACGTCTACCTATGTTAAAGGGCCTTCTTTATTCTATTTAAACGATGAATCTTGAAAAAAACAGACGTGTGAACGAGTAACATGACGGTTTGTATTATAGTTCACGACGTGGATAAGTACATAAGCGTCGGTGATGCCTGGTGCAAGACGTAGTTATTTTATTTTACGGCGGTTATTGAAAGACAAATGACATGTAATACTCTTTAAACGTCTGTTGGTTTGTTTGTACGTCGTTGTTTATGGTTTTTTTTTTTTATGTAAATGTTAACCACAACGGTTTCTAGCTTATCTAAGTCTTTTCCCCTTCATTTAGAGATGTGGATAATTATCTATACGTCGGTTCTTATTTGGATAATGACATGTAACAGTCTTTAGACGTCTCCTTTTTCATAAAACCGTCGTCTAATGTTGTCGGAGATTTCATTTTAGGCTAATTATATAGTAATTACATGTCGGTTAATAATAAATATGGACGTTGAATTCCTTAACAACGTTGGTTATTAACCGTCGTTGTTGATTGTACAAAAGATGGTGGTCGATTTCACGACGGTTGGAAAACCTTCTACACGACGGTGGTTTCCCGTCGTCTATTTTGATTTTTGTAGTAGTGTCGCGGCATAGAAAAGAAGCATTGGGGGGTAAACGTGACAAGGAATCATCTAATAAAAAACAGAGAGCCGTATGGTTCTCAAGGGATGAGGAGTTGGGGATGATGGTTTGACTGTTTGCCTCTCAATGATTTCAAACTTGATCAAGTCTGCGGCCATCGTACTTTGTTAGCGACAGGCTATGTCTACCTCCAAAGCAATTTGACTTTTTTCTGAAGGCTATATCAAGTGTGTGGCCATCTAACTGCTCTTTATAGGCAAAAGAAAGGATCGGCATGGAATAACAACTTACTTTTTTTGGGTAAGATTTAAGGAAAGCCAGAGTGTCTTAATTTTAGAAGGTGTACTTCTTTTGATATAGACTCTTGCAACTACTATTAACCAAGGGCATTTTCTGGTAGTTTGAATGTTTCACCAGACTGCGTTTGGTTCTCACATAATTATTTTGTGGAGACTCAAGTGATCTCTTGCATGAAATCGATGGAGGTGTCGCAGGTTGCTTGACTGTCAAGGGTTTCTCTGTGCTAAAAATATTTTTCTTTCACTTTCCAAAAGAAAAAGAACGGTGTGCTCATGAGTTCATAAAGAAGATGCATCCTAGTATCTGTATAGTCTGTGTAAATTTAGTATATTATCACCCCTCTTAATAAAAAAAGGTTCTCAAAAAAAGAAAAAAGAAAAGAAAAAGAAGATGCGTCTATCAAGGGTCAACTATATATGAATAATCTGCAACGTAATGTTAGTATTTGCAGTTTATTAATCTTCTTCATAGTTTTTTTGTTTCTCAAGTGGGTACAACAGTAGCTCGAGACAACGTGATCACGTCTCAAATTGGTAGATGCTGATGTGTTCATAAATTCACATGATTTTATATCCTTTTTACTTAGTTTTGTGAATAAATTTGGACTAAAGATGCTGAGTTGAGTTATTTCCTGTTTTTCAGCCTATGAGCCACGGAATGAATAAATTCGCCAAATATTCATCGTAATAGAGTTCGACATGATTCCAATTGGAGATGGGAGACAGCATCTTGAAGTTTATCCATGAATATTTTCATAATTTTTGAAGACTGCTAAGGTGCCCATTTTTAATTAGACAATTCAGCATAAATCAATTCCCGGAGAATACTGAGTCAGCAGGGGTATTTTGGCTACAACTCACTCATACGACATCGGATTGAGGCACATGATATATGGCTGAAAAGAAGACATCCAGAGCTTTCCAAAGAGTGGTCGTACGTAATTTTTGGAGGTCAGAAACGTGTCCAAATCGCATTCGCAATGAGGATCACGTGCAGTTTTCCTGGAGGTTTTAGGAAACTTAGTTTTAATTAGCTTTTCTAGTTAGGAACTGACTTGGAAATCAAGTCTTCGTGTAAGGCCACTTGTTTAGGCCCATTCTAACTAGGTTTTAGGTTCTTTTAAGAGGGGAGGTCGTAGAGGCTCAGGGACGAGAAATTTTCAGACTTCAACCGTGGAGCAAGGAAGAGCCACCGTGCCTCTAAACTCTAAGGGTTTTCCTTATCTCTTTCTCCATGTTTTATTTTTGCTTTGTTACCATGATTATGAGTAACTAATTTTCTTTTACTAAGACACAATGTAACCCTTTTCTAATTATTCAAAGCTTAGTTATGTCATGCTATTAGAATTTCCATGTTGTTGAAATTTAATCACTGTGCTTATTTTCCTAACTAATGATCTTGATGCTTAGCTACCATCTAGGTTTTTGGTTAAGTAATTTGATGCATGTTAGGGTATACGCCATGCCTAATATGAGTTTTGCTTCTTGTGATTAAATTCATGAATGCGCCTAAGGTAAACACTATACTCTTAGGGGTTTGTGTGATTGTGTGAAGTTCTCATTGAACCTAAGGTCTTTTTATATGTTTATATTTATGCCTCACGCCAAGGATAAATTGCATGTAAGAAGAAGTGGTTAATTGCTGTGAAAAGAATTAGTCATAATTTTGGAGAACTAATCATCAACATAACTTGGGAATTTTGATAGTATGCATGCTAAGGTTTGGATAAGAGGAATTGTGGTGAAATTGTTGTCTTGGTAAGCTTCTTTAAAATCTTTCACAAACTTATTTAGTTCACGTTTTTCTTCGTTATCTTGTCTTTTAATTTTCTTGTTTTCAACGTTCTTTCAAAGAAAATCTTTCAAAACCAACTTTCAAAAATCCTCTATTAAGTTTTAGTTGAGTCATTAGTTTTAAGTTTATTAATTAGGGTGTCTAGAGTAATTTAGGATTTAAATTAGTTTATAATTCACAACAACTTGAGAATTTATTCAGTCTCTGTGGGAACGACCTTGTACTTGCCTTGGCTATATTGCATTAACCTTGTGCGCTTGCAAGTTTATTTCTTGAATTTAACTATCTAATTTTCAGGTAGTAAAATTATACATCAAGTTTTTGGCGCCGCTGCCGAGGACTGAGTTTAATTCTTTGTGTTGTGTGATTTTAGCTTTACTTTAGTCTTTGTTTCGGTTGCATATCGTCCCTTTTTAATATTTGTTTTATTGTTTTACTTTATTGTATTTCTTTGATTTATTCTCTTTTATTATTTGTTTCTTTGTTTTCCAGCACCACCTGTTATTCACTATCTCTTTTGTTTTGTTGTCTGTAGGTTGCTCTCAAATATTTGCATGTTGTGTGTGTGTTAGTTGATGGTCAGCACAAGATCCCAAGGTCAAGAATTAGTACCCTTTGATCCTGAGATAGAAAAAACGTTCCGAGAGCTCTGTCACATCAACCAACAAGCATTTGATACTGATTTAGAGTCTGACACAGAGTCAATGGCAGCCAACACTAAGCCCTTGAAGGAGTATTCACAGCCCACAATTTTAGAAGAGCCTTCATGTATCACATTTCCTGAAATTGATGATGTTTCGTTTGAGCTAAAATCCGGTACCATTGGTCTTCTTCCTTCGTTCTATGGTAAATCAAATGAAGATCCCAACATTCATATTAAGGATTTTTACATAGCTTGTGGTACGGTTCATATCAAGGGAGTTTCACAAGAAATAGTGCGTCTGAGATTGTTCCCCTTCACTCTCAAAGACAAGGCCAAGTCATGGTTCACCTCTCTTCCTGCTGGATCCATCACATCATGGGAAGAACTTGCTCAAAAATTCATGCTGAAATTTTTCCCTGTCACAAAAACATTGCTACTTAGGAAGGAAATCACGAACTTTGAACAAAAGCCTCAAGAATCTTTTCATGAGTGCTGGGAGCGATTTTGTGATCTACTACAACAATGTCCTCATCATGGAGTGGAAACTTGGATGCAAATGCAGATCTTTTACCAAGGACTAACCTCAGCCAGTAGAAACAATGTTGATGCGGCGTGTGGAGGAGCTCTGAGTGAGAAAGATCCTAAGGAGTGCTTCAAAACTTTTGAGAGAGTTGCTGCCAATTCTATGCAATGGGGCGATGACAGATTCACAAGGAAGATTACTGTGCATAGTGTCGATACAAATCCTGGACTCGCTTCAGCATCTCAAGTATCCAACTTGGAAAAGAAGCTTGAAAATTTCATGCAGTCAATGACCAAATTTGTTTCTCCTTCCTCTGTGTGTGCTATTTGCTCTGATAATTCTCATCCAACTAATAATTGCCCTTTGAGTGATCTTACGCAGGAGCAGGCTAATCAAATAAATTCATTTCAAAAGCCACGACATGATCCCTACTCCAACACGTATAAACCGGGATGGAAGAACCACCCCAATTTCTCATGGAGCAACAACAATCCGTCTGAGCAGCGCATTTATCCTCAGCAAAAAACCTGTCAATCCGAATGAACCAAGAGAACCAACTTTGAAGGAGATTATGACTCAATTTATTCAGACTCAACAACAAACAAACAATAACCTTCAAGCTGGTTATCAAAATTGTCATGCTGCAATTCAGAAATTGGAAGTCCAAGTGAGCCAGATTGCAAACATAGTCAATGAGAGGGAGAAAGGCAAGTTACCTAGCCAACCTGAAATCAATCCAAGAGGCCAGGAGCACATTAAGGCGATAAAAACATTAAGGAGTGGGCGAACTTATGAGGCTAGACCTGAAGATGTTTCTAAGGCTGAAACAGAGGGAAAACAAGCTGCTGAAATGGAGTTAGACGTGGAAGACATGAATACACTTCAGCCACACCCTGTCCCTGCCACAACGGATGTTACAGAGGCCCCTACAGCAGCTATTGAGCCTACCAAAGAACCTACAGCAGCTACCCCTTCCAAGGAGCGAATATATGTGCCTCAAGTTCCTTTCCGCAAAGACTACAGAAGCACAAGAGAGATCAACAAACAATGGATATTCTGGAATTGTTTAGAAAGGTTCAAATAAATATTCCATTGTTGGATGCAGTGAAGCAAATCCCAGCTTATGCTAAGTTCCTCAAGGATGTTTGCACAAACAAGCGAAAGTTTGCTACACATGAGAAAGTGATGTTGTCCGAGGAATGCAGTGCAGTTCTCCTTAAGAAATTGCCACCAAAACTTAAGGATCCAGGGAGTTTTACAATTTCTTGCATTATTGGAAATTTACATATTGAAAAGGCTTTAATTGATTTGGGTGCAAGTATTAACTTAATGCCTTATTCTGTATTTCAGCAGCTAGGCATTGGAGAGATCAAACCAACTTCTGTGAGCTTGCAACTGGCTGATAGGTCTATCAAATATCCACTTGGAATCGTTGAAGATATACTAATCAAAGTGGATCAATTTGTTCTTCCAGCAGATTTTATCATCCTTGACATGGAGGAAGACAGAGAAGTTCCCATCATTATGGGACGTCCTTTTATGGCTACTGCTGGCACCATTATTGATGTGAAGAAAGGTTTATTGTCTATGACTGTGCAAGGCCAAACTGTTGAGTTCAAGGTGTTTGAAGCCATTAAGAAACCTGTGGAGATGGATGAGTGTTTTTGTGTAGATGTCGTTGATACTATTGCCCACACCACTTTCCTAGCTAATGTAAACGAGGATGAACTTCTCACATGCCTAGCTAACCCGGAGCTAAGATCAGATTCTAATGAGGCCCAACACCTTGTAGCAGCTTTGGATTCGACACCTATTCAGTTCCCAAGGTGGCGTCACACATATGAGCCACTAGGGACACCTAGCGCTCCTATCTTGCCTTCCGTTGAGATACCTCCAAAGCTGGAGCTCAAGCCATTGCCTGAACACTTGAAATATGCCTTTTTGGGAGAATCCGATACACTTCCTGTGATCATTGCTTCTGATTTGACTGTTACCGAGGAAGAAAAGCTTTTGCGGGTTTTGAGAGAGTACAAAACAGCTTTAGGATGGACCATAGCTGACATTAAAGGCATTAGTCCATCCATGTGCATGCATCGAATTTTACTAGAGGATGGTTCTAAGGCTACCATTGATGCGCAAAGAAGATTGAATCCTAACATGAAGGAGGTAGTCCGAGGTGAAGTTTTAAAACTTCTTGATGTAGGTGTGATCTATCCCATCTCTGACAGCAAGTGGGTTAGTCCAATTCAAGTCGTCCCCAAGAAGTCTGGAATCACAGTGGTTCAGAATGAAAACAATGAACTCGTGCCTACAAGAATGACCACGGGATGGAGAGTCTGTATAGACTACAGGAAGTTGAATTCATCTACTAGAAAAGATCATTTTCCCTTGCCTTTTATTGATCAAATGTTAGAAAGATTAGCTGGTCACTCACATTACTGTTTTCTTGATGGCTATTCAGGTTATAATCAGATTCCCATTGCCCCTGAGGATCAAGAGAAGACGACATTTACCTGCCCCTTTGGGACGTTTGCTTATAGGAGGATGCCTTTTGGCTTGTGCAACGCACCTGCGACCTTTCAACGATGCATGATGAGTATATTCTCTGATATGGTTGAGAGAATAATTGAGGTTTTTATGGATGATTTTTCTGTTTTTGGAGATTCATTTGATACTTGTCTGTTTAACCTCAAACTTGTGTTGGAAAGGTGCACGGACACTAACCTTGTTTTAAATTGGGAGAAATGTCATTTTATGGTACAACAGGGTATTGTGCTAGGCCATTCAGTCTCTAGTAAAGGCATTTCTGTTGATAAAGCAAAGATAGACATCATTGCTAAATTGCCGCCACCAACCTCAGTGAAGGGTGTGAGATCTTTTCTTGGCCATGCCGGGTTCTACAGGCGTTTCATCAAGGACTTCTCCAAAATCAGTCGTCCCTTGTGCAACCTGCTCGCCAAAGACGCCATTTTTGAGTTTGATGATTCATGTTTACTTGCTTTTAACAATTTAAAAAAGCTTCTTACTTCTGCTCCTATTATCACAGCTCCAGATTGGAGTTTCCCTTTTGAACTGATGTGTGATGCTTCTGACTATGCAATAGGTGCTGTTCTTGGTCAACGAAAGGAAAAGCTTTTACACGTGATTCATTATGCAAGTAGAACATTGAATGATGCACAACTCAATTACTCAACCACTGAGAAGGAATTGCTTGCCATAATCTTTGCTTTGGAGAAGTTTAGATCTTATCTTGTTGGATCTAAAGTCATAGTGTATTCTGACCATGCTGCTCTGAAGTACCTAATGACAAAGAAGGATGCCAAACCCAGACTCATTCGATGGATTTTGTTGCTACAAGAGTTTGACTTAGAGATTCGAGACAAGAAAGGCTCCGAAAATGTGGTAGCAGATCACTTGTCAAGGCTCACACCGAGCCACAAAGAGGAAGTGTTGCCCCTGAATAAGTCATTTCCGGATGAACAACTATTTTCTGTACAGCATGGAGTCCCTGGTATGCAGACATTGTGAATTATTTGGTTAGTGGAATTATTCCAGCTGATTCTAACTCTCAGCAAAAGAAGAAGTTCCTGTCCATGGTCAAATTTTATTTTGGGATGAACCATACTTGTATAAGCATTGCCCTGATCAAATTATCCGAAGATGTTTACCGGAGAATGAGCAACAGAGCATTCTGAATTTTTCTCATAGTTATGCATGTGGTGGACATTTTGGTCCCAAACGGACAGCTGATAAAATTTTGCAAAGTGGTTTCTTTTGGCCAACTTTGTTTAAGGATGCCTACAAGTATTGTGCAGCTTGTGATCGATGTCAAAGAGTTGGTAATATTTCCAAAAAGAATGAGATGCCACTTCAAAGTATTCTTGTGGTTGAACTCTTTGATGTCTGGGGTATTGACTTTATGGGCCCTTTTCCGTCATCCTGTAGCAACAAATATATATTAGTGGCTGTAGATTATGTGTCAAAATGGGTTGAAGCTATGGCGTGTCCCACTGCTGATGCTGCTGTTGTTATGCGTTTTCTAAAAGGATTCATCTTCTCACGGTTTGGCATTCCAAGAGTGATCATCAGTGATGGAGGGAAGCACTTCATCAACAGAGCATTTGACAAGCTTATGGCTAAATATCATATCCATCATAGAGTCTCTACACCTTATCATCCTCAGACCAGTGGCCAAGTTGAGGTTTCTAATAGAGAAATCAAGAAAATCTTAGAGAAAACAGTCAGTGCTTCAAGGAAGGATTGGTCTCTGCAGCTAAACGATGCATTGTGGGCTTATCGGACAGCTTACAAAACACCTATAGGCATGTCACCATTTCGATTGGTGTATGGGAAAGCATGCCACTTGCCTATGGAGTTGGAACATAAAGCATATTGGGCTATCAAGAAGCTCAATTTTGACATACAGGCTGCTGGTGCGAAACGGAAGCTACAACTTAATGAACTCGAGGAGCTAAGACATGAGGCTTATGAGAATGCAAGGATATATAAAGAAAAGACCAAAAAGTTGCATGATCAAGCTATTTCCAGGAAGACATTCGTGACGGGAGAGAAAGTGTTACTTTATAACTCCAAACTTCGACTCTTTCCAGGCAAATTGCGTTCAAGATGGACAGGCCCCTTCCTCGTCACTCAAGTTTCTCCTCATGGTGCTGTAGAGATTCAGAATATGTCAACTGGGACCCAATTCAAAGTGAATGGTCATCGCCTCAAGCATTATCTAGAATCTCACTTTGATCCTCAAGAGGTGGTGTCATTCTTTGACACCATTCCATCACCATGTTCCTGAGCACCATTCTTAAGTCCAGCTAATGACTTAAAACAAGCGCTTCTTGGGAGGCAACCCAAGTTTTCTTACTTTTCCTTGTTAATTTCTTGTTTTTGCTTCTTTTGCTGTCTTTTTGGTTTCCTTAGCAATTTGATTATTTTGTTTGTGTGTAGGAACAAGTCGAACACATCCCAGCATGTTTAAGGAGTCTTTTTCAATGTGTTGGCACTCCTCATTTGGACCGCAAAGCAAGGGAAGGCAACAAGTTGCAGTTCGAGACTCCACAACCTGTAGTTATAAGTATTTTCCAGGTTTCAATGCCCAGATTTTGATCCAATGCTCCCAAGGCTGCAAACTAGTTTTTGTGGGTGTCCATACACCTAGGCTAACTTCAGGGAGTAGGATTCACGGCTTGAAAACCAAGCCATAAGGCCTTTGTGCACAAGGATACCAAACAGCTCACATATGCCTTTTTGTTGGGGTTGCAATTGCCAAGAGTTGAAATCATGCAAGAGGAAAGGTTATTTTGGTTGATGTTTTTGTTGGAGAAGTTGAGAAGTTTTCCTATGCACAATATCATTTTCTTAGTTCTTTCGCACCAAGGAGTGGCCCCCGCAAGTGACATATGGTCTCAACAAGATGTTCTGGATGCTGGTTTGGTTTGGAGAACTTTATTGTTCAATTTTGCCTTTTGGCACAATTATGGTCATTTTTGGATTCTCCTCATAATTTTCACTATGGAGTGTTTCACATGAATTCAAGGTTTCAGACATGTTGCAAATGGTTATGGTGATGATTTGGACTAAGTTTGGGGGTCCCGTATGGCCTACATTGTGTTTTAGGTGGATTGGAAGTTCAAAAATGAGCCAAAATACCAAAACTGATACTGCTGCATTTTCTTGCTGTTCATCGGATTTTTCGTCACTAAAACCCCTTTTGCGAGGGGTGTTCATCGGATTTTTTGTCGACAAAAGGTTCCTGACAACCTTTAGTGACGGTTTTCTGCAGAAAAACCGTCGCTAAAGGTCATTTTTCCAGATTTTTGCTGCTGTTGCTGTCCTCAAAAGCTGCTGCTTCACACTAGTTTGGGGGTGGTTTGCCTCTCACACTAGAGCCTCATGCCTCACCATAAACCGGGGAAGTCCTCTTCTTTTACTTGTTTCTCTTATTGATTGATTTAATTTTTTTTTCTTTTCTATATGCTTCCATCCTTAACTATGCATTGCATGTTTTCTTTTCTTAACATTGAGGACAATGTTTAGTTCTAGTTTGGGGGTGGGAAACTTTGTTTAGGTTGTTTTCTTTTAGTAAAGTTTTTATTATAAACAAATAATATAAATAAAAAAAATTAAAAAAAAAAAAAAAAAAAAAAAAAATAAATATTCTTAGTCCGTTTGTTCTTCTTGTTAATTGTGGACAATTCAAAGTATAGTGAAATTTCAATTTTGAATTTGATATTCATAGGTGAGTTTAAAGGTTTGAACATGCTTCCATTATGAAATCTAGGATGAAATTTGCAATCACAGTTATTTACTTTGGATTAGTGGATTAGTCATATGCTTCACCTTGAGACTTTCACATGCACACCAACATTCTTGCAGGGGTTAAACGAGTTTTGAGTATGCTCATCCTTTTCTTTTATAAAATATAGGACTAGTTAGCATTTAACTAAAAGAAAAAAGTATAACATATTGAAAGTGACCAAAGAAGTCACAGCCCTATGCAAAAGCAAAGTACAATTCAATGAAGCTAGGGTGAAAATTGAAGTGAGCTAAAAGCTAAAAGTCGGAATTACATACAAGCCTTTTCAACTCGAGTGAGTAAGTCCTTCGGGATGTCTTCACATTTAGTGCCCTAAAGTCATTTGATTTGGGAGTCACTGACCTAAAGCTCGTTACATGGGTTAGAAATTAGAAAAAAACCTTTAACCTAGTTTGTTTTGCTAGTTTGTAGTCCGTATTTTATAGCATAAGAGGTGCTGCATACTTGAGATTGGTTTAATTTTCTGCGTTTGTGTTGGCCTCACACTACACCAAGAATAGCATGTGAGTTCTTTACTAATCTTTTGTAAATCTCTTTGATTGTATGAATTAATTGTTTAAAATTTTGGAAGTTTGTTCTTTCTTTTAAACCTTTCTATGAGTTGAGAATTCTGATTGGTGTTCCAATGTACTTTTGATTGATTGAAATTGGCGAGGAGAAAAATTGTACTGAGACTAACACCTTTGGTTTGTACGAAGAAGAGTCCTGTCTGTCGTGTGTTTCTGTTTCTTTTTGTTTGTTTTCTTCTTCTTTTTTTTTCTTTCTTCGTTCTTTATTTTTTGCTCGAGGACTAGCAAAATCCAAGTTTGGGGGTATTTGATGTGTTCATAAATTCACATGATTTTATATCCTTTTTACTTAGTTTTGTGAATAAATTTGGACTAAAGATGCTGAGTTGAGTTATTTCCTGTTTTTCAGCCTATGAGCCACGGAATGAATAAATTCGCCAAATATTCATCGTAATAGAGTTCGACATGATTCCAATTGGAGATGGGAGACAGCATCTTGAAGTTTATCCATGAATATTTTCATAATTTTTGAAGACTGCTAAGGTGCCCATTTTTAATTAGACAATTCAGCATAAATCAATTCCCGGAGAATACTGAGTCAGCAGGGGTATTTTGGCTACAACTCACTCATACGACATCGGATTGAGGCACATGATATATGGCTGAAAAGAAGACATCCAGAGCTTTCCAAAGAGTGGTCGTACGTAATTTTTGGAGGGGGAGCTTTAGTTTTAAAGCATAATATAGTTTACTAATTTAGTAGAAAGAAATACAATTTAGTCTAATTAGCAAAAGGAAAAAAACCAAAATGTAACAAAAATACCATTACAAAATATGAAAATTACAACATATGCCATTTTCAGTATTTAGTTTTAAACAAAAACTGAAAAACGACATCAAACCAAAACTGAACCAAAACGACATCAACCGAAACCAAAATTGAATCACAACTCCTTCGCGCGACGTTTCAACTTCACCTCCAGAAACATCTTCAACTTCAACTCCAGAAACCTCCAGACCACCAACGATCATCGAAGACCACCAACGATCATCGAAGACCACCAACCCATTCGTGCGACCATCATCGAAGACCACCAACGATCGAAGCCGATTCTTCATTCTCTCTTTCAGCAGTTCCAACCTATTCCCCCAAAATCTGAAACGGCGACGAGCGACGACCAGAAGCGACGACCAGCAACGACGACGATTGAAGGGTTTAGCACTCTCTTGGGGAAAAAATCGTAAGAAAATGACCCCTAACACAAATTTGCCTTTGATTTTAGGGTTCTGAAATTTTACTTACTGTCATTCTGCAATGTAGTTTAGGTTTTGGGTTTAGTTTTGGTTTGAAAACCTCTAGAAACCGAAAAATCACAAAAGAGCATCAAAACTGTTTTCTGCACTGAAGAAAACAGAAACTGCATTGTAGTTTCTGCTAAATTATTTATACTTCTTTCCATTTCACGTCATGTTGTTATGTAGTTTCTGTTATGTTTTGTAGTTCTTGTTTTGACTATGCTGATCTTTCAATTTCATGTCAAGTTGATGTATATTTTCTGGTATATTCTGTTTTTTGCATTGCAGTGAACCACAAACTGCATTGCAGTTTCTGTGCATTTCACGCCATGTTGTTATGTAGTTTCTGTTATGTTTTGTAGTTCTTGTTTTGGCTATGCTGATCTTTCAAATTCGTGTCAAGTTGATGCATATTTTCTGGTATATTCTGTTTTTTGCATTTTAGTGAACCACAAACTGCATTGCAGTGAACCACAAACTGCATTGCAGTTTCTGTGCTTCTTGAATGTTGCTTATTTCACGCCATGTTGTTATGTAGTTTCTGTTATGTTTTGTAGTTCTTGTTTTGGCTATGCTGATCTTTCAATTTCATGTCAAGTAGATGCATATTTTCTGGTATATTCTGTTTTTTGCATTTTAGTGAAAGACAAACTGCAGTGCAGTGAACCACAAACTGCATTGCAGTTTCTGTGAACTGCATTGCAGTGAACCACAAACTGCATTGCAGTTTCTGTGCTTCTTGAATGTTCCTCAGGTTGATTTGTGAAGCAAAAAGAAGGGCCCCCTACACCTGCACAGGTTGATTTGTCCCCAAATGAAGAACTTACTCTAAATTGGATTCTGCAAAATCCATATCAGTTTCCATTTGAGGATGACACAGAATGTGCTCAACAAAATTCATCTTCGTAAGAATTGTGTCTACTCAACCATTCATTACAATTTGAAATCATTCAAAACCAAAAGCTAATCTCGTATTCATTTGCAGGTTGGATTGCGGCATGTTCGTCATGTTCTACATGGATAAAATAGCACAAGGACAGCCCATTCCAAAAAGTGTGGACAAGAAATTCATGAATGAATGAATATCGAGCACAATATGTCACAAAACTCCTACACCACAAACACTGTGTAATTAATCGTCTCTAGTGATTTGCCTTTCGTTAACTCAAGACAATATGTATCTTAATTCTTGTGGATGTTTGTAAATATTTCTAGTTATGGTATATGAGAACATACTTGCAAAAATTATTCTGAAATTGAATTATCGAACAAGAAACTGCACTGCAGTTTCTGGTCTCGAACAAGAAACTGCGCTGCAGTTTCTGGTCAAAATCTGCACTGCTGCTCAAAAGGTAAAGGCATAATCAAAGTACTAAAACTAATATCAAAACACATTTAACTCCATGAGCAGTTATAACATTCCCATAGACTAGCAAAAAGTATTCTGAAATTGAATTATGGGACAAGTTCTGTTCAAAATCTGCAACAAATAAACAGAAACTGCAGTGCAGTTTCTGCAACAAAATCTGCTTAAATCTGAAAACAAGCATTCAATGGCAGTCAAAAACGAATATCCACTCATGAAACAATTGTATAATTTTCATTAACTTCAAAAAAGAATCATAATATCCAATTAGAAGCAGTGTAGCCAATTAAAAGCAACTAAAACTGCAATGCAGAAACTGACTATACATTCACTAAACCATATCTAACGTAAGCAATCGTCAACTGAGAAGGAATGTTCATATCACAGCCTTGCAAGTCTTCCTATTATGCCCAGTAACACTACACCGACTGCATTTCAATGGCCTTTTAAATTCACCAAAAGCTTTGATCCTCTTTGTTGGTGGTCTTCCGGCTGGCCTCTTTGTAATTGGCGGAAGCACAACTCCAGCTGCAAAACTGTTGCTGCCCAAGCCTTTCCCAATATCTGGCCCAACGAATCTGGGCCAGCCTTTGGCCTAATCTAAAATATCAACCATGGATGACTCTGATGAAACTGAAAACATCATGGTTTCCGACTTATATGTGCACTTGGCAATGACACACACCTCCATTAGCCTTGAAAATGCAAACAAAACAACAAACAAAAACAGAAAACAATTTAAATCAGTAAATAATGTACATGAGCAGTTGTAAAATTCCAATAGACTTCCAAATATTAGTCTGAAATCGAATTATGAAACAAGAAACTGCAATGCAGTTTCTACCAAAACTACAACAAACAGATGTAGTTTATGACAGAAAATCAAAACAATTCGAATAGAAACCAAAAGGAAACCACGATAAAAGTACTATAACTAAATTCCATAAACATACAAGTCGATATAAACGAAAACAGGTTCTAAAGTACTCATACCTCAAAACTTAGGACTGCCAAAAATCTCCACAACCAAACAGCAGCTTAAAATCAAATCTGATCACGAAACGAAGAATATAGGGTTTAGCATTGAACGCCACAAGATCGCGCCGCAAAATCGAGCCACAAAACTGAGCTCGAAATACCCGAACTAAGGAGAACAGAAATCACCCAAAAC